AAATCAAACCTTCTGATTTCAATGGTGAAGTTAATTTTTTTCTATAAATAGCTGTTTCCATGGTGACCAGGACACAACTGATTTTTGGTGGTCTTTTTAGTGTAAGGAAATATCTAAGCCCAAGACAAGCACACCAAGGCTAGGTTAATTTTCTTAATCCTTAATGATCAGTAAATGCAACTTTGGTATCAGATTCCCATAAACAGTTTCTTATTTCTCTCAGTTATGATATATTTGCAAATTACATCTATTTCGTAAGTGTTAACTACCTTCAATCATTTAAATGTCTTGATAGAAGCAAGATACTTGAATTATAAATACAAAGTTGCACTCACTAGTTCTTGCTGATTCAGATGATATATAGACATATGGGATACCACTGATAGTTACAAAATATTACTTTCACTAAAATTTGAATTTGGGCCGATATTAGGAAATGAGAAAAAGCCGTTCAAAGTTTTTGCTCATAGAGAATGCATTTATTCAAACAGAAAACATTTAAAAAGAAGGGCTAAATTATTTTCTGCAACAATACAGGCAACAAAAAGTTATTTAAACTGAATCTTATCTGTTAAAATTTATTTTTGGTGTTTTTCTAAAAGTTATATGATGGATAAGCATCCTACTCGAAACTACCGGCCTTGTAAGTTTCACCTTCCCTTTTTCTCTTCTCTTGCTCATTTTTGGTTTTCGAATATTTCTTCCTCTTTCTCTTCTGTTTTTCCTCATCTGTTTTTGCCACTGCAGCCTTCATCAATCTTTCCTTGTCTCTTTTGTTTGCATTTTTCATAAAATGTGTACCCGGTAACAGGCCAAGTGTGCGACATAATGTCTCTTGAGATGTAGACCCCATTGCAAACTGAGACATTGCCATGTTGACACCAATCTCAACCATTTTCTTACCACTAAAAGTGGATTTGGGGCAAATTTTCCAAATTATGCTGTGGAGGCACTCGTTTGGATTTTGCGTTTTATTTTGGCATCTTTTTAAGAGATTGTTGTCAGTAAGGCGGTTGAATATTGGTACAAGGCGCTTACCAATTTCAACTGGCAAAGTCGTATGCTCCTTGTGTTTCTCAGGTGCCTCTCCTTTGGCCTCTGCTCTATTCCAGAAACACCATGAGTCTACCCCAGTGGGACAATGTATATGTCTTGGATTATCATCATCAGATGTCAAGTGGAACAATATTGCAAAAATCCTTTTTTTCATTAACTCTATATTGCCAGCATTATCTTTAACTGCTTTTCCATAATAATTTTGAATCTTCAAAATTTTTTCCTTTGTGAGCTTTCCTTTTCCTGATACAGATGACCCTTGTGACTTTGCCTCTGCCACTATATTGTTTAAAGCTGTTCCCATTCGTTTGGCAACATGATTCACACACTCTTCTTTTTCAACAATATATTCATCTCCATATACTTTGCTACGAACAAGTTCTTTATGAGCTTTGCTATCTCCATCTGACAGCATTGTCATGTAGCGTAGGGAATATTTGTTAATGGACCTTCCCCAAATCCTTTTGGCACATTCCATCTCCATCGAATTGGCAGAGCCATCATAATTCTTCTGACAGTTTTCCTTGTGCTTTTCGAACCACTCAGCATAATTGGCATCTGTTTTATTTGGTCCGACAGTACATTTGTAACAGAAGTTACTAAGTGTTTCAGAGTCAATGGGCAGACCTGTTAAAAGGTCTATCACAGCACCTGCACCATTATGGGAAGAATGACCCCTTTTCTGCCATGTCCCATCAAAAGAAACACCAATGTTCAAAACTCCATGCATATCAGGTTTCACGCCCATCTCTCCATAAGTTTGGAAGATTGCTTTGGCAGACTTTTTCATGATAGCTTCACAGGTGACCTTGCTACCTTCGTGTAATTTATTTTGACTACCTTGATAGCTGTCTTTAGACATGGAACAAGGCATATTCATTAATCCACACCAATCTCGCAATGCAGAATGTCCACAGCCTATCGATCTAAATGCCATAACCCCTCGAAGATTGACTTCGAAAGGAGTTTCAGATTGTCTTGATCCACCAACACGCTGGCATAAATAGTCTTCCATTAATGTTTCTTGACAGGACTGGCAAACCAACATCGCTCGCACTGATAGGCCCAACGAACTTCCCTCAACAACTTCCAAGGATACCTGTCCAGCAACAAAACACTTGGAGCATGCAACAGCACAAAGAAGTTTGTTGAGCGCTTCTTTCTGACAGATCATGAAACAGTCGCTTGATTCGACAGTTCCCTTAGGTTGTTCTTTTTCATTTTCAACGCTAATGTCTAGCAACTCCATTTTTCTTGCACTAGAACTTTGCAACTTCGAACTTCGTACTTCAAACGTCTCTGGCTGCTTTTCTTTCTCACTGCTTCTCGTCACTTTTTTATGACGGCCTCGGAATTTGTTTCGTGTTCTAAATTTTACTCTACCCATCTTGGAAATGTAACAGAAGCACGAGTATTTTTTGCAAAGTTTAGTCGAATCGAAGAATCTGATAACTGTTTACGCTGATGCGAGCATGCGAGGCCATCAGCTGACTTGATTGTCCAATCACAGATGGCCACTATTCATATCAGCCAATGAAATCTCGCGAATGAAAACGGTTTCTCGTGACAACCAAACTCAATTGTTTGACTAGCCAATAATCATCAGTTAAATACAGAAAATAACAAAGGCCAATGTGTTGGATTGCCATTCAGTTCAATTTGCGAGAAAACAAGCTTTCTGATGATACCTTGGTGACTCTGCTATGATCAACATGGCCGAAGATGTCGTGAAATGAAAACATTGAAATTTTGGGCTACATTTATCATAAAACAAATATATTTCAGCCTGAGTACTAACTTATAAACTGATTTCAATCCACTTTTGAGTGAAATTTTGCAAGATATCTGCCCAGCCCCAAGTAGATTAAAAGTTAGGCTACAAGACAGGATGAAATACCAGAAATCGAAAATTTTTGAAAAAATAATCATATTTGGACCAGACCCTTGCCTTAAATAAATTGTCACACATGACATCAAAAAGCAAAATTGTTCAGTACTCTGACAGTGAAACAGATGATGACGACATATATGATTGCAATGAAAAAGATCTAGGCAAAATTCAGAGCAGAAAAAGGAAGATTGAATCGCATCAAGCCTCTAGTTGTAGTGATGAAGATCGTGACAGCGGCAGCGAGGAAGAAAATTTCAAGTAGGCGGAAAATTTAAAACCAATCTTCGGGTTTGTCATAGCATTAGTAAGATGGACTTAAAACTTGCGCACCAAGCTAAAAACATCAGTCATTCAGTTCCTAAGCAATAAACAAGGACTTCATTGTTTAGTCAACCTTCTGTACCTATTATCAGAAGGGGCCTCCGACGACTTTCTTCTAAAACAATAGAACATTTTCCAAAATCTTTTGTTGTGGTTGCTAAATTTGTCCTTGACCCTTCCACTTTCCAAACCATCATTATTGCCAGAGTCCATCATTATTGTTATAAAGTCCCTACACAGCAAAAGACCAGTAAGGGCTTATTCTTGTTGTGGCAGTTATGGTAAAGTCTCTTCTGCACAGCCTGCAGAATATGACAATTTCCGACGAGGCCTCACGCGTGCAATGTCATCTCAGCTATGTTTTCCCTGTGCTAACCTCCTGTTATCCGTCAAATGACTTGCCAAGTGTCTTTTTGAAAATGTAATTTTTCAGTTTTGGTACAAGACTACACAAACCTCCTGCGTGCATATGCCATATTCTGCAGACTAGACTGGGTAATCAGAAAATTTCTGAAAATATGTGGGCTCTCTTCGTGATAATTTTGGATAATCTATGTTCTTCATTTTAGGAAAAGCAACAAGGAAAAGAGGAAAATGCTGCTTCCCATCCCAAATGATGTTCTTTCAATGTTCAAAGGTAGTTTCTTGTCTAAGATTCCTATATTTTTAATTTGATATATGTTTACCAAACAGATTACCAGCTCATTTGATGCATGGGGTTCATTGCAGAGGAGGATTTTCAATTGTTAGTTTACATTTTGCCCTCTATTTTAAAGCCAACTGATCTTGAAAATAGATTATTTTTATCAGCCCAAGTTCTCAGAGGAGAAACAAAATTGTCTCAACTCTTCCAAGAACTTTTGATAGAATCATGTAATAATCCCATACATTGCACAGATCCTTGATGCAGTAGATTTTTCATCAACAGTGAAGATAAATAAACAAATATAAAAGAACCTAGATGTAACCAAATTTGACATTGCCTATATATTTTTAGTAATACTGACACCTTCTTAGTTCTTCTTTTGATAAGAATTATTGCCATTTAAGAATTTATGAAAAAAATAATCAAAAATTACCCTTGAGAACAAAGATAAAGGTTTTGTGAAGATATATAAAAGCTAATTGAACCAAAGCCAATATAAAAAATTATGCCATAATTATGCTAGTGTATTGTATGATTCTGTGACCATTCCTTGTCTGTATTTCACTGAGATATACATTTGCCCTTAATGATGACATATTGGAGGTAGTTTGTCAAATTTCTTTGTTTGGATAGATGTCGCAAGCAGTGAGGAATCAGCTGATGATCACAAAGGACGGATAAGATCATTTGCTCACGAAGAAGGCAACTGGGCATCATATGTTTTCATACCAGGTTACTATGTGCCCAACCATTAACTTCTTCCTAGTCATTTATTGTTTCTGCTGGCTTTAAAAATGATAACATTAATTTGAGTGATAAAGTGAGAGTTTGATGATGATGTAGCCAGTATTTAGGGGTTTAGGACATTTTTCATAGCCCCTCACATCTTGGTGTTTGCCTTTGTAGCTCCTGCCTTGAATAAATTTGTTTCATTTATAGGATAGCTAGCTAGTTTTAAATAATTTTAGGCTAAGAATGACAGGTGAATCATGTAGATAGAAAAGGAGGATTCTCCTCTAAAAGCAGAGTTGCTAAAAGTCCTAATTCATACCAAAGATGCAAGGTAAAAACGAAAAGCAGATTGTGAAATGATATAAGTGAATATTATTTTCAGATGATTTAGGATATATTTAATTTATTTGGTGATGATGATTGTGATATAAGTTGATAGTTTTTATGTTAATCCTATTTGCTGAAATTATAATGAAAAAAAGAAAAGTTATGACAATTCCTAATCTAATATTAAATATTTTTTCTCCACAGCCAAGCTATCAAATAGTCAAAAGGCCCTTATCAAATCGTTGGTTGATAGGGCAAGGAAAACATTTTCAAAGTTTGAACAAATAGACAATAAGGCCATTCACATAACACTTTCAAAAACAGTATCTCTGAGACACTATTGGATAGAGCCATTGGTTGACCAGCTTAAAGATTTGCTGTCTAATACACAAAGGTGAGTGTTTAATGCACAAAGGTTGATGATATTTTCGTTCCTCAGCCTGTTAATGTTATGAAGAGGCACAAGAGCAGGATTGATTTTGTACTTCATCTGAAACTGATAAATTAATCTTGGGGGAGGGGTAATATTTGGCAAGCGTTTTTTTGTGGTGGGATTCTTTGTGATGGGTTTTTGAAACTGCCTTTGTGTAGCCAAAAATTAGTCATAAGTGTGCCTTTTAGGGAAATAGGTATTCATTGTTGATAACAGCGCGGTTTCTGACAGTTTGTTAGTTTCACGGAAGGCGAGGGGTGGTTTAGTGACGATGGTATTCAGTGTTATAGAGATAAGTGAAGTGACTGCGATTAGACACTTTTCGGAGAGCGTAGTCTTGTCTCCCTTTTTAGAAAAAAGGAAAGCGTGAGTTAATTTCCAGGAAGTTAGAAATGTATAAAGGAAAACAAAAGAGTTGAAATAGATTGATAAATATTGAGGTATAAGGCTTGAAACGAATGTGTTATACCATCAAGGTCTTTCGATAAGTTTCGATAAGCGTTTGGGCCTCTTGCACAAAGCGAATTGTTGAAGAGACATGAAAGAGTGGAAATTCCATATTCACCAATTCTACTATTTCGAAAATCAATTTAATTTGATCAGTTTGAGATCCAGAGAGTGCTAATTAATAAACCTAAGAAGCTTTTAGCTATGCTGCGAACATTTTCTAGGGAATCATTACGTCAAAAGTTACGGCATAGACTGTTTTAATACTTTTCATCAGGCCCACCGAGAGGGGGAAAATTGTCCCTGGGGGGAAAATTGTCCCTGGGCCCGTATGCAAAGAGAGGCCGGCTGGTAATAAACTTTCTTTATTTAAATATGACTCTTAATAATTTGGTAATTATAAATTATATCTGTGTTGGGTTAGTTTAGCAATGCTTTTTGGATGAAAATTTTTAATTGAATAAAGAAAACTCAATGCATTTGAAGTCCATATTATGCGCATTGTAGCTTTATTGGTTTGGGTAGGAAGGGGGTCCAAGTATTAGGCCTACCCCTAGGACCGGCGTGGCTCTCGGTGGCCCTGCTTTTCATTATCACACATATGGCACCAACGATATAACTTTTCCGTATGTAATATAAATAATAATTTCTGTTCTATATGTCTGACAATATCATCAATAAACCATGTTTTACAAGACCATTTGTTTGCAGTTTCAGATGTCATCTTGACCTTGTCGAGCTGTATACAAATGAAGAAAAAACAAGGTACCATCTTAACTATACGTTCAACAATTTTTTTTTAAAATACTGGATCGAGGAAGGGATTGGTTATCTGCTTTTTGAGTTTGATATTCACGTGGAACAAGTGTTAGAAGCTCGTTTGAAGAAGCTATAAAAGGCACTAAAGTACGGATGCTACTCATTTGACATTGAAAATCAAAATGGCCGACTCACTTAAACTTGAAATCTTATCAATGGAGCCTGTTAAAATCTTATCAATGAACTATTGAATTATCATTTGAGCAAAAGCGTAAAAATTAGTATTTATTTACAAAACATCTTTAGTTTTATAGTAGCTGTCTTGTGGTTATCTGGCACCTCGTGGGATTTTTTGGACGTTTTCTTCCAAATGAGCGCTTTCAATGCTATGCCATTAGTTTCAAAATTTGTGTTCCCCAAAAGGCACGATGTCCATTTAGTCAACCGTTCACGTTTCCAATAGGCATTGCACCACATTAACGCGAATTAGTCCCGCGTTGCCGACTGGAAGACGTAACAATAGCCTACTGTATAATGCTACCAACGGGAACTTCTGTGAACATCGAGATTCATCGGGACATAGTACATTTAGGACAGTGTTATCGTCTTTTTGGCATATAAAATAGTCAGATACATTTGTCTATTTCAAAAGACTACAATGCTTCCTTTAATTTTCCTTGCAATTTCATTCGAGGCACCTGAATAGGTAGAGAGATGGCATATGTAGGTCGTGCTTATTGCACATTGAGTTCAGAACGTTCGATAATGTCGAAAAAGTCAAGAAAAACTATGCACAGTTACAGATCCGCAAAAACAGAGGAAAATGCCGTTTTTGATAGGCCATCTGTTCTTGAACAATATCTGTTCTTGTTTACCTCTCAGAGATCACTTTGGAATTTGGATGCAATTTTTGTTTGAATATTGTTCATTTGTAGGTCTTTTCTTGGACTGAGGATTATTCTTGGAGAGGAAAAGGTATAAACTGTATTTCTTCTGCTCTGTTTTAAATACTTTTTGATCATTTTAAATCACTGTTGAAAGTGCAGTCATTTTCTCATATGATCGAACATCCATTACCTGATATACTCGAGCTTTTCTGCTGCCTTGATTGCAACTCATTTATTTAATCAATAAAGTGAAATGGTGATTAAAGATTTTGGTCTACTCAAAAATTTTTTCCAAAGCTTAAAGCGCTCACAGAAAAAGTTGACCAGGTCTTGGAGAAGTTTGGATTACCAAAATACTATGAGGTGAGTACACGAGGCAGCGATTTTATAGTACGCAATAATGATAAAATGTTTATCGGTCCTCGGAAAACTTAAGAAAACAAGTTGGACCTTTGATGTCTTTCGATCTATCGCAGATAACACTTAGTTAGCAATTTACCAGACATCTTGTTATGAACAGATGAGATACACGATTAGAAACATTTTGAAACAGGGGAACATGTTGCTTTGAAGCGGGATATAAATCGATTATCAGGCCTATAACTATAGCTACTTTTGTTCTAAGGGTTCTTGCCACCCCCAAAAAATGAAAATCCTTTGTTTCAAATGAAGAATCCTTTTGTTCCTACTGTTCTCAAGATGCCCCTCCCCCCTAAATAATCCAACCCTTCCTACGGTACTAAGGGTAGTAATTCTAAATTGCTCCGTGCACGAATGATAGATTTTCGGTCTTATTTGCGATTACTCTAGATAAGTAAAGCAAGTAAACCCTCTCCTACGTTCATGTTGCAAAGTAATAGTGCGAACTGTCCCACTTAAAAAATATTGAGTAAGTCCATAACTTTTACCTACTGACGTGATCCGTGTTTATATGTGCTATCATGTTTTTCTTATTTTGCGAGTGCTGGCCCTATTTCAATTGTAGCAGCTTAGGATACAATGACGTAAAGGCAATCTTTATAAATCCTGAGTACCGAAAGTTTTCAAAGAAGTCCACTTCAGTCTTTTCATCGGGCTTCACTGTTTGTTACTTAAGGCATTTTGTCTACATATTAGTCGAAAAATACCTTAGCAGGTAGAACACGGTGCTGAGCTGTGTGTTCAGAGGCCGAATATTTTATAACTTTACTTTACTTTACTTTACTTTACTTTACTTTACTTTACTTTACTTTACTTTACTTTACTTTACTTTACTTTACTTTACTTTACTTTACTTTACTTTACTTTACTTTACTTTACTTTAATTTACTTTACTTTAGACAGGGAAAGCCAATGATCTTTTGCTGTGAGCACTTGTTTAATATCTTGTCTGTAATATAGTTATTGATAATTTATCAAATTCTTTTCCGTCAAATTGAGAATATCATGCTGCAAAAAATTCTATCGTTTGCAATTTAATTTGAAAACCTTATTATAACTTTTTTAAGTCAGTTTGAGGCCTGGGTGGGGCCCTCTCAGTTTCTGTCCTAGGCTGATCTGCCCACCGCCCCTTCTTAGTGGGCCTTTAGTTTTCCCTATTATTTTGTATAATGTTCTTTGTTTTTAGAACCCTTCATTTCATATAAGTTTTGCATGGCATCTTGGTGACGTAACAAACACTGTACCTCCAACATTTACAGAAGATTTGCAGGTACAACTTTACTTAGATGATTACGTAAGGTCAAGCTATTCTACATTTGGATCACACCAAAGAAGGACGTGATAAGAATGAAAATAAGGGAAATGGATTTAAAGTAAAAATTTTCATCGTTTGAGTCAGCACTTTTGCTCCTGAAATCCTCCCCTCCCCGGTAGATTTTGTCCCAAATATTCTTCTTACTTTCTTTGTTCACTTTTTATTTTTATTAAAAGTCTCTTTTCCCCTTTTGTTGAATTGCAAATTATAATGTAAACTAAGCACAATCTCACCGTCTTGAAGTTAGACAATATATTCCACGTTTTACTTTGATTGATTAAGACAAACCATTAATGTGGAATATTTAATTTTGAGGGTAAGTAATGACAAATTTAATACCTGTATTAAAGATTTTCTCATTTTCATGGCTTGGTATTCAATTGTTCCTTGAGTACTCATGCAACCTAAATTTTCAAAATACAGCATTGGTCAAGTAGCGATCCATGGTAATTTTGGTCATGCTACTCAATCACTTTCGTTTTATGATATGAAAAATATCCAACAAGATATCCCCTCAAGGAACTCTAAAAATACTTGATAGGCAACAGAAATTTGGGTTTGACCTTGAGAATCACGTCGAGGTATCGTATAGCTTCAGAGTTTATCACACTTTCACTGTCAAAAGGAGCAAGCAGACGATATTGACTCTTACAGCCTTATATGCAATGTACCATTACTTCTAATGAAGGAAAAGATCTTGATTCTCTTGTCCTCTTTTCAGAACCTGGTGGATTCATTTGATGCTGAATGGAGTGAAGATGAAAACTATATGAATTTTAGAACATTGAATGTCGACAACATTTGTTTAAAAACTGGCAATAAAGTTTACTACATTAAAAGATAGCGTATTCGAACTGTAAATCAGAGACGAGATATTTTCATAAGGACAGAATTGATGCTAATCACTACTCCAGCAGAGCAGCCAAGGCCCTGTTCTCACTACAAAATGCCTTCTGCTCGCATTGTTGTGTTTTGAATTTTTGTTTTATGTTTTCATTTCACTCCATGTTTTCAACTCTTGGAACCGTGATAGCTAAAACCATTGCTTACAAGGCGTAGATCATTATTCTTGGCAGGCCCTTTAGATTCTTAAACAGTTTTTGTTTAAGAATCTAAGCAAGTTTTAGTAATGCTTCATCCACTGAATTGATTTTAGCTTCGGTCTCAAATCAAAAGATTTATTTTAAAATACCTTTCTTTTTATGATTTTTTACTAATTAACTTTTTAACTAGTTTTTACTAATAAAGAGCCAATTGCCTTCTCTCGGAATAACACATGGTATTTAGTTTGACCTATGAAATATCTATGCAGTATCTTAGACTGTGATATTGTCCTTATAGTAATGCCATTTTAAAATTAAACACAAACTTATCTGAAATGAGAAACCATTTTATCTTTCAAAATCTATTTTGCAAAATGTTTTTATGATTTTCATAACAGCTCAACATAAAATTATAGCTGTTCAGATTTCAGCATCTATTGTTCCAGTTACGCTGCTTTCAGGTTAACCCCACCCCTCCTAAAAAGCTCCCTGTCACATCAAAATCAGGTGGGAAAGCAACAGCATGTACCAAAATACCATACTATGTACCAAAAGAGGATCACAATGAAACAAAAAAAGTCTTCGGTAAAAATTTACAAAAGTCTTCAGTAAGAATTGTTTATGAAGTAATTACAAAAATGAATTATAAAAATTATATATTTTCATTCATCGTTTAATATAACTTAAAGAATAAATAAGATAGCATAAAATTAACCAACTAAAATATGCTGAAAAGACATATTGTCATTGGAAATCATCTGTTGCTATACAAAAATCATTGATATTCAAAAACTCAATAAGATTCAAACTGCAATACTGTAATGCCTCGAACAAGCACCCCCCTCAAATAAGAGCCCCCCTCGAATAAGCGCCCACCCTAGAGGTGAAGTTATTGAATAAGTACCCCCATCAAATAAGCGCCCAACCCTTGAATAAGCGCCCATCCTTCAACCTTCAAAAACAGGCGCTTATTTGAATTTTCAACAAAAACAAAATTGGAAGGCATTTCAACCTGCAAGATTACTGAACAACACAATTTGCACCCAAATTAATTTTTAGATAAGCGTCCTCCTTGATTAAGCACCTCCCTTGAATAAGCACCCACCCTGGAGCCTCAAAAATTAAATAAGTGCCCGAGCGCTTATTTGAGGCATTACGGTATTTGAAGAAAGAGCCAGGATTACTGGACAGTAATGAATTATGGGTACAATGTTTGAAAAATATGGTTTACATCATATTCGATATTGTAATTTTTCATACAGTCTGGTATTCTTGACTAAACTGTAGTTTTTATCATCAGCCACTGTGGCTCGTATTATCAGCATTTCTATCATTTTATCTTGTTGTTTTGATGCAATGATGCGCATACATTACTAAGTGTACACATGGAATAATGGTGCCAAACTAATGCCATGTTGTAGCATGCCAAAACAGACAAGGATTTCTCAGTAAATGGTTCAACTCAGCGGCTGACTGCATCTGTTCTTCACAGATTCAACCCTGGAAATAACTCTTCACATCAGATATTGGCTGTTTTAGAACCTGATACATGAATCATTCAAAGATTCCCAAACCCTCTTCATCCTCCTTTGCTTGTGATCATGTATACCACAGAATCAACAAAGAATAAAATCATTGCCAAGAATCCACACATCTAGAATGAAATACAGGGATACTTAAAAAATGACAAAATCAATTTTTTTAACTTTAGAAAATAAAATTTTCATATCTTAGCTTTTCAAGGCTTAAAAACAGAAATAAATAATTTTTTCAGAAACCTGAACAAAATTGTGTCCTGAGAAATTGATAGCAACGTAACAGAATCTTGCCAACATAAAACTCTAGCTTCAATTTCTAATGATTGCCACAAATTTAACAAAATGGGTGCATTTATTATTTCTATTGTCACTTTGATAGTATCACAGTGAATAACAAAGTTTATATGAGACAACTGCAACTCCATATCACCACAACTGTGCCAAACAATAAATTGATTTTAAAATTTTTTGTGAAAGGTAACATGCAAAGTCATCAACAGGCTGGCATTGTCAATGGGCTGGATTGTTTCCAAAGCCATACGTGAGAAAAACTTTTTCTTCTCTGTCATACTCATCTAAATCAATACAAATATCTGGAAGATATTAATGAGCAATTTTGACAATACTGTCTCAAGATTTTGTCGTTTTACAATATGACTGTTGATGCGAAGAGTTTAAAAATTGTCTGAAAGTCCTGGAAACTTTGAGACAAAAAACTCACCATTGAAAACCTGTGCAAATGACATTCTTTTTTGCTAAATCTTATAAATGTGCATATTTTCTTTCTGTTTATGTCAGCAAGCAGGGCTGATGTTGCAAGAAGTGAAATTCCAAGAATGAAGCAGGTGAATGCAACCTAGAAGAAAAAGAATGCTGAAGATTTCCTCACAATATATCAATAATTCAAACCATAGAAAGGCCTGTAAATTTTGGTCCATGCAGGGGACACCTTCATTCAATCCGCCCTTGCATTATTTAAGAATCTGCCATAGATTCCACACATAATATTGTTTATCTTGTCATATTCCCGGCAAAACTTCCCCTGTTTGAATTTCTGATTTTGCAAGAAAAATCAAAGAATACAAGATGACTTCAAAAGCCTTTGCTACCAATTCTATACACGATTTTTCATGACACATTCGTTATCTGCAAATTTGAATATCATTGTGCCAGTATTCCCCATGCAGAAAAATTACTTTACAGTCTGGCGTGTATATAACTAATTGTGGTAAAATGCAAAGTATTAATACTAACAAAATATAGATAAAAACTTTAGAATTTGTTGGTAGCTTGAGAAAATCTCTAAAAATCTGTAGGAATATGAGGGAAACTTACATATTTGTTCATAGCACGTGGACCAGTGTATTTAAGAATGCTGATGAAATGGAACCAAAATACAATGACTGTGAACACAAAACTGGCAACCATAAAAACCATAAAGAAGCCTACAACATCTTTCTTTTGCTTTCCAGCCTCTAGTCTCTGTAAATATGCTGTCGATATCAGGCCAATAAGACAAATAATCTGGAAAGGAAAACACAAGTAGGCAAATTCTTAAGATATAAGGAATACCAAAACATATTTTGCGTCATGAAGTTATTATGTAATGTTTCCTACTGAAGTGTCAGACAAAAATTGATTTAAATGTTCAATTATTCGAATCAACCAAAAATTATGCATGGTTAAATGCGATTTTGTCTGAAAGATTTCACAGTTTATATTGTAGGTGAAAATGTGAATGTATAACTCAAAAACTTCTACCATTATTACTTTATAGCAGATCTCGAGCAAAAATAAACAATAATGGTGACTTACAAACTCTGCCAACTTTAAAACAGCAAATTTTGAAGTCGCGAAATCCTTGTTAAACACAAATGGTTTATCGTTAGCGGGATGCAATGAAGTTTCTAGAGGTGATCTACTCGGCAGATTATATCTTGGAGGGCGAGTAACCGGCAGTTCTGTTTGAACTTTGATTCTCTCGCTATATGGCGGTGGTGGCTCATCATCACAGTAATCAGGTAGTTCAAGGTTGATATTCCGATCTTGGCTTGAGTATTCTGGCAAGACTGTCTGCACAGAAAACATTTGCAATGTTGAGACGTTGTTGTTCGTCCTGCGACTTTCCTCACTGTGCTCCATCTCTGTTTTGAATTTTCATGGTAGGTTGTCGTTGTTGTTGTTTGTTATGTAACAGCGAGAGCGAAGTATCCCATGCTACTATAGTCTCTCTAATAGACGCCCTCCGTGTATTAATTTCAGAAGAATTTTTCCTCTCCCCGTCGCTTATTAGCACCCCCCTTCTATTAAATTTTACAAATCTGTCAGGACCAGAACACGCAGAAAATTGAATGAAAAAGCGATGTGATTTATAAAAAAGAGTAGGCTCCTGTCTGTGAGAACAAAACGCCTAAATTGAGGGGAATCTTTCTAAGACACAGCCTTTTAATTAAAAGATTTACCAACATCCACTCCTTCTATTAGCTCCCCTTTGCTATTGAAATTTACTGACATTTATTGAAAATTGGCCAACCTGAACACTCCCTTCTATTAGCAACTCCCTTCTATTGAAAACTGGCCGACATTAAAAGCCCCTTCTATTAGCACCCCCTTCTTTTGAAAACTGGTTGACATGAACACCCCCTTCTATTACCTCCCCCCTTCTATTAGAGACACTAGAATATACTTCCAATTATAGAAACTTTTGTTAAGTCCGACGAGGAAAAGAGTCATCAATCATTTGTAATAAATAGACATGCGATGTTAAAACTGGCAAAAATATTCAATTAGAAAAGTTATACAACAGCTTTCTCATCTAATGCCAACTATTTGCCCATAAAGGGTATTGGACTCGATGACGGCTAACGATTTTAGTTCTAACGCAAATAAAGGGTTCATGCTCTCAAGCAGACAGCCCAAACTTTTAGTTAAGCAATCTGTCAATACCATGCAAAGCTGTAGTATGTGATTTATAGGGTTTATTGAAACAAAGTTCAAGTCTGCATATTTTTAAGGAATTCGAAACCTCTAGAAGGAACTCGAAACCTCTATAAGGATTTCGAAAGCTGTATAAATATTTCGAAATTGCAAACAACTTTTGGGAAATAAAGAGAGTTTTAGCAAATGGTTCAGGTAGTTTGATTGGCATAGACTTGCACTATTGAATTTTGCATCATGTTGCCAAAAAAGCAAACGCGTGTTTCTTACAACTTCAAATCTGGTGTAAGAAGAACTCTCAAACAACGAAAGGAAAACGAATTAAATAAAGGAACTTACAATATCCTGATATTGAAACAGCGAGCCACTTACTTTCGATCATAATGGCCTAGCTCTTTGCGAGGCTTCTGCGTCCTACCAAGTAGGTTTTGTTTAAAGTAAAACGACGGAATCTTTAAATCTCTCGGGATTTCTAAAGCTTTAATCATGTTCACGATAAAATTCTCAAATGATCACTAGCCCGTTGGAATCACAGAGCACGGAGCGAGTCTTTCTTCTTTCAACAAGTTATGAAAACATTGCCATTTAGAACTATTTAAGTTCAAGATATAACGGACTTAAGTACTGATACACCAGTGCAACTAACACATAAAAACACAAAATGTTACTTTCCGCGGTATATTTTGCAGAACTATATTAGAAGGTGGACACATTCTGCAAATATAAAATAACAACAATAAATGGCTGGCCTTACAGGACGAACATGTCCCGCGTCTGAATGCAGGGCTAATATGAACTGGGTTTTAATGTGATGGCCTCTTAAACATGAAGCATTTTTGCTTTATCAAGTTCTGTACCTCCCAAAAACTGTTCACATGAAGCATTTTATTAAATCTTATTTAACGTACACAAAATATTGAGTCTGAAATAGACGATGTTAGGTGACCGTTTAGTTTTGATGTGTTTTACTGACTGAACTTCATAATATGTGTACCGTATTTCCTCTAATGAACGCCACCCTCTTATAAACGCCGCCTTCTATTGAACGCTGCACCTTCAGCCAACCCTTTGTAAAAAAACGCCGCCCTCTGATAAACACCGCCCTCTTTTAAACGCCGCATCTTGAAAAGCTATGTTCATTAGCAAACACACCGAACAGCCAAACAAGAAGTAACGAACAAAGACGAGGACTCTGACAGAGACAGGCTATGAATACAAAGACAATCTACGGTGTTAATGATAGCGATACCATGAAAGACATTATTACAACGTCGACAAGGGACACTTTAACCAGATAAAATTCAAACAAAGAGGCTTAGAGCCCTTACCCCTTCCCCCAGCCTTCCGGATTCATTCTAGTTCTTCTGGTGACCAACGAATGTTTAAACCACTGAGGAGGGAACAAAGTTTTAGGGAATTTCATTGCGTAAGATTGCCGCAATAAAGATTTGAAAAGAAATTAATGAACTTTTAGATCAGAAAAATAGAATTTTTGAATGTAACATAGTGCAATCCGGCGTCCAACCAAAACAGTAACACGGCAAGGTAACCAAATGCCTACAAAATAATAAAGAATTTTGTTGAATTTCAAAGACTTCGTAAGCATTTTTTTGAAGTAATTTAAAATAGGCCTTATCAGCTACCAAATTTTTAGCTAACTTAGATTGAAACTCAAGATAGCTTCAAATACAATGGCAACTATCAAAATAAGCCAAAAGTAACCGATTATTCATTGCTAACGAATGCAGGTTGAGCACATGCATCATGAGAATTGAAATTTGTCATGTCACAATCAATTACTGAAAATTTTACTTCCAAAAGCAGTAGGCTGATAAAAATGTCACTAAATATGCTAATGCAACCTTATTAGTGACTTTTTGCTGTGCAATAAAATTTCAATCAACAATAATATGCCATTGATAAAGATTCCCACTGACAATAATGTATCAATAACTAAAATGGAACATTGACCTTGAGAAAATACTATGAGATTGACAAGAATTGCCAAACATTGACAATATTGAAAATACAACATTTTCAATAGTATACCATACACAACACTACACCATTGACAATAACTTAACCATACAAATACCATACGATAAACAATAATAAACATAATCGGCAATAAAATACAATTGTAGTTAAACCTCTGATACGTCAACGAGTCGTCATGACAACAAGATTTACTTACAACAGAAGTCTTGAATATCACACAGACTGTTGTTGTTGCTTCACACAATCCTGTGAATGGAGCGTCGGTTAACAACGCTGAACTGATCAATATCAAGAAACCGAGGCTGACGTGTGTTATGATCATCTAGAAAAGACAAGTCTTTATTCAAGAGAGCTTGGAGCAAGTATCAAATAAAAACTTCAGAAACGTACGATAAAATAATTGACCAGTGCAGTATTGGTGGCTGATAGCAAGCATAAAATTACGTTTTCAAAGAGACAGATTTCAATTATTTTTCAAAATGGAGATCTTTTTATCAAATGTGAAGAAACCTAACAACAGTGCACGAGGGTCTGCATAAACAAAGTTTTCTTTGAGTGCTACATTGGTGCCCTGCGTGAGAACTAATCGATGAATGAATGGTATTAGCATAAACATTGATAACTCTCGCTTACTGTTTTTTTGTATTACTACTGCTGAGAACGAAAGCCTTTTAGTGTAAATGCTATGAAAGAGTCGTGAATCAAAAATACTGTCACAGCTTCAGTGGGTGGCAAAGTTTTTCATCCTACCTTAATGAATTGCGATGGCGTTGAGATTTCTTTCATATACCCAACCAAACTTGTCCAAAAGAGAAGGAGAACAAGGACCCAGCTGATAAGGTGCAAGAGCATAAAAAATCCGGATCGATCTCCTGTGAGAATGCCTATGCCAAACTTTTCTCGAAACGCTAAACATGTGGAGAATGCTGCTGTGCATGCTACCTATGAAAGGATAGAATCTTTTCAACGGATTTAATAACAAATTGATAAACAAAAGCACTTAACTACTGGTTCATTTTCAGCTAAATTTATGCCTTCGGTATAGCTTTGTTAATTTATATTCCCAAGGGTATCGACGTTTCCATTTGGGGGACTTCTGGCCCCGTGGGGCCTTCAATAGAAGTGCGGTCATTGTTTCTGCCCTGAGGTACGAGAAAGATAAAATTTACAGCACACAACATATAAAAGCAAGAGAACCAGGCATGAGTCTTAGAGACTCAACAGGCTCTTCGAAGAAGTAGGCAAGAATTTTAACCAACAGTCGCACCACAAAGCAGGGCTGAGTCCTCACACAAATTTGCAGTATGCACATAAAATCTGGCCTAGCAATAGTGTTCATATTTTGCTTTTTAATCCTTATTGGCTGGAAGCTCGTCAAAAATTTGGGGAGTTCAGCATGTAATAACAGGAAAGGAGGCATATACACATAAACTTTGAGTTTCGTTTTGAATTGTTATAGGTGGACGTGAGACTGATCACATTGACAAAACCCCTAACATATTTCAGGAGAAACATCTTCGATGCAAAAATGTGATAGAATTGATAGCTGGTTCCTATTTGATTCAATGTATCGCTAAATAATCGACTGCGAAGAGTTTAGAATTAGAATAGACTAGCTTCAATTGAGGATGGAATGCTGAGATACTCACAAGTTCCAAGCCTTTGAGGACTGCAAATTTCGAATACAGATATTGCTTTTCAAATTTGACTATCTGCAGCTTAGCTCTTTGTCTATCTCTTATAACTGTGGCTGATGCCTGTTCGGAAAAAGTAGCGCGAAAATGCGAATGACGTAATGGTATAGTATGGCTAAATTCACTTCTGTTGGGGCTTCTGTTGGGACTTCTGTTGGGTTGAGGTCGGCGTGGAATGTTAAGCGCAACAGATGGTTCAGGCGACTCGTAGGGTGGTGGTGGCTCATTTATAGCGACTGTGTCAACCCAGGCTTCCATCCGAGGCCTCACAAACAGTGCATCGCTGGGGTACGGAGGAGCTGAGGGACGAGCTGAATACATTCTCCCGTTTTAATGTCTGCACGTCAAAAACGTTCAAAAAGACCTCAGTATAGAAGCGAAATCTTCATGGCTTCAAATAATCAGCTGCTGTAACTTCTGTTATAGTACGACAAGCTTTTGAACCTGTGCAATAAAGATCTTCAATCACAAAAAATGCCGTGGAATGTTCTTTATATGACTGAACAGGCAATAATACCAAGAACGAGATTTCAAATTACCAGTAACACCAATAGCGTACCTGTTCATGTGAATTGGCTGTCAACAAATGGTGAATGTTGGTTGTTATCAAACGATTTAGGAGCATTGGAGCACCAGTAATCTCTGGAATGATGTCTTGTATTGCTTATATGCAATCAATGCTGAATTAAAACGCACTTTTGAGGTACATTAGATTATCAACACAAATCTGAAACTTCCAATCAGCGCCTTGATAGGCTTATATGCTTTCACTTATCCGTATTCCCTACGTATTGACGCTTTTGAAAAATAAAAGGATCTCCTTCTTTGAGCACTTCTGAGGTCAGAGAAACTGAATGACGAAAAAGGAGTTAGAATGGTGTTTCCTCTTTCCTGAACGGATGAGAAATGTTCAAATTGCACGGGTTTCCAAATTTTCATATGTCGATGGCTGATTGAAAGAGGCATTCATTTGCAGTAGAACGTCTGATCTTTTTACATGTCATCCCGTATTTTGCATTGATTCCAAAATGTATATTTTGACTATTTTGGATATATCAAGCTATAGAAATAATTTATACAAAAAGTACATCGACTTCCAAATAAAAAGAGCCACTTTGTGTGACGGAAAAGGACGTATTACATCAAAAGACTCCAAGGCTAAAATTACTTATAGATGATAAAAACAAAGAGTTTAATATAGTTCAACAACAGCACTTGGCGATCCAGTATCACTTTTAGTTTATTCAACGAGAGGGTTATATCTCGACTCTCTTATCATATGCCAATCAAACTTAGTAAAATTAGCATGACCAAAGTAACTACCGTAAATCCTCGAATTAGCCCCCTGGGGGCTTATTTATTTTTTATATTTTTGGATGGGAGTTTATTCGAGGGGGCTTATACGAGGGGGGGGGGCTTATAGAATCATTGTTGACATTAAGAAGACATTATTAAAAGACCTTGGCTTATTGACAATTTGTAGTTCTTGGGTGAGGGCTAATTCGAGGGGGGAGCTTTCTCGAAGGTGGGGGGGGGGCAATTCGAGGATTTACGGTATCTAAGATTTAGGTAGGCAGCCTTTCCACTAGCCCGAGTTAAAATGTATCTGTTTTTAAAGTGAGTCCATGGAAACGCCAGTTTGCTTTAAGCTCGTTTTAATCACTTTTTGATCTTTTCCACTAAGTTTGGTTTAAATGAATCCCAGCTTATAGAATATCCTTAGTCCTCTTTTCTTCAGGTAAATCAGATTTAGATGAAAATTAAAAAAAACCAAAGAACGCAGAACTGTGAGAGAAATCAGTATGTGCGAAAATTGTCCTTGAATATTCTTTGTAAAACACTGTTGTTGTTTTAAGTGGATCAAAAGTATGCCGGGTTTGGCGTTCCCACTAAGAAGCCTTTCCATTAGAACGGGTCCACTAGAATGAGATTTGCTAATGGATTACTGCTGTTTTTGCCGGATTCATAGATGTTAGAACCAGGGCCAAATTACAGTGATTGGATGGGGAAAGAGCCCGTGTTTACATGGCAATAACTCAGTCGATTTACTCTCAGATTCAACTGATTTTGAACTCTTGGAGGCGTTTTATGGTGCTTTTTTAAGATCTGCGGTCAGAATTCTAAAATCCTAAAAATAGATTTTTGTGACCTCATCACTCTGCCACTCAGTGTCTGTCAAGTATTTTGTGGACCAAACCCCAACATAAGACTCCCAACGGCTCTAAGGAACCATCCCCTAAGGAACCATCCACACTCGAGAGAGCAGGGGCGTCGCGACCGGGGGGTGCGGGGGTGTCACATCCCCCCAATAGCATCTCAATATAAAATTTCGGGTAAAATTCGTTCGGTGGAAGAAACGCTTAAGGTACTTCAGAGACCTTAATGTCATAAAGTCAAGAAAGGGTCTAGCAAAGGTAGTTGCTCCGTTGGTTAAATATGGTATTCCTTGATATGAATGAAGGTAAACAAACTAATGATTTGAAGATTTGAAGATTTCTTGTTGGCACTAAATCTAAAAATCCAGGCCCTCTTTAGGTAAAATTGTGTCTTGTGTCCATTTCCCCTAAAATTTCTCGGTAAAAGCATCAACTGCAATTCACTATCAGCTCCAGATTTATTTTAACATTCAAAAGGCATGCTAGGATGGAAAGAGGGATTTAAATTGACAACCAGTGCTGCTTGTTACCTAGCTTTAGAAGTAACTGACAACATGGTATTTTTCAAGACCACAGCGAAATTGTACCAGTTGTTTTTATCTGCTGTTCAATTTGAATGCAAAAAAGAATTTTCAATAGGATTAGGAAGATTGCTTTAGTGAAATGTGCTTAAAAGAGTGCATTTTCCAGGGAACTAAAAGCATCAGAATTCGATATATCAGTTCCGATATAGGGATTTGACAAAACTATTAGGAAAGTCGGCTATTATCGTATAAAAATGAATAGTTTTATATACAGAGTTGGATTGACAAAATGTATTGCAGAGGTTTGTGACAGTAAATTAAGAATTTCAAGCAAAAAATTTTTTAATCAGGTAAATTTTTAGTCACCACCCCCCCCCCCCCAACAAGGCTTGCCTCGCGACGCCCCTGTGAGAAAGTTAGACAAACTCAAACGATGGTAGGTAGGTAGGTAGGTAAGTAGGAAGGTAAGTAAAGGTATCACAATCCATCCGTAAAAATCTTCTATAGTCGCCTCTGTCAGCAAGTTGAAACTCTTTTACTAAATTTTGGTATGAAGCCCATTCTTCTCTTTTCTGTAGCCATGGCTTTACCCACAAAGTTGTTTTTCTGAGATGCTGTAATCTAATGGCACCGCAGAGAACTATTGCTGTAGCAGCGATCTTCTCAAAGGCATTTGTAACGACACCGCTCTCACTATCACTATCAGTTCCACTTTCGTGATTTGTTTCAGCGAAACTTTAAATTTTTTAGAGTGTTTACACACCGGATTTCTTTGATGGAAATACGATGGCCCAAGAAACATGAACAAGTATGATGGAAATATGACAGTGTAAACTGGCCTTTTACATTCACAAAAATCAATAAGCCAGCTTAATTATTTCATTAAAATATTTCGAATTCTACTAAACTCATAGAGTAAACTTCAAGACACTCCCATTAAGTGCTGCCGCCCTAGAATGTTAGGAGATTGGGCCGCAGGCATCTTTCAAAACCAGGCGAATGTCCCCACCCACAAGTCACAACCACACCCAACAACCCCTTCATTTGTGTTGAAAATTCTCGGTTGTGTGTCTGAAATCATTCATATTATTCACCAACTCAAAAAGACAGGTAGCAAATTGCACATTCACAACAAATTTATATAGAATAGAATTCACCAAATCAAAAATTTGTTTGCTCGTTAAAGAACGCTGAGCTCTAGCAATCTCTCTGGATTTTGAAAAAGAAGGGCTGAGCCCTCGAGTTCATCTCCACGGCACCCCTGCTTCTAAACTTACTCATAGCGAAATTCAAGTCCAACAGGCTTAAAATACTTTTCAATTGCTTCATCCATTCGCTTGTTCATCTCTTCGGTGAAATAATTCTTCCAATCTCCTACCTCCCCTTTCCGAATGAAGCTCCCTTCTTTCTTCAACATCTTTCCATTTTGAAAAGCTTCTAAATTCACAGAATTGTTCTCTTTCATTTTCTTGAAGCTTAAGTGATCAACCAAAATCCCAACTTGCTCTTCTGCGATTTCCTTCCCCAGAAATTTTGCCACCTTTCTGATATTGCCAGCCAAATCAGCTTTTAGTTCTTCATAGAACAATATGCAAACTTTTGGATGGTTTCTTTGCTTCCATAATTGTTGGATGTGTTCAAAATATGACGTGTAAAGTAACAGGCCATCCATGAATAGATCAAAGTAGGTTTCAAAATCCCCATTGTAATCAAAAACTCCAATTAACTTTTCGTGATGGTAATACGAGACTACTGTATCTTTTGGATTTCTCAAACATATCACAACCCTGCTTTTGTCGATAAAGTGGCCTGGAAAATGGCCAAATGGAAGGTGAGATTTCAAAACTCTCGGTGAATCCATCGTAGCTAACTTTTCGAAGTAACCATCAAGGTGAGGACGAACATCATCTAGAAAGTCTGCAATAACTGGTGTTTCCAAAAAAGGGATTCTTTTCTGCCCTGAAACTGTTTTGGCCTTGTCTATGTCACAGTTGTTCTGTAGGCACCAGACGAGCTCTTGTACCCAGGTTGTGCCAGTTTTCAGAAAGCCAAAAACATAAACGTCTTCTGAGCGCGCTTCCCAATTCTTATATCGATCCTTGAATTTCTCATAGGCCTTTGGCAAAATGCAGTTTCCAGGCATTGCTTTAATGTACCTCCGTCCATATTTAACGAATGGAGTTGGGTAAACCTTCTTCAACCGCTCAGTGTCACTGTCAGATAGTGGCACAAGCTCAACGGTCGCCATCCTGACTGCAAATCTTGTAATGTCATGGCAGTGATGTCTTACATGTTTACTATTGTTTCGAGTTGACCTTTGTAATGTACTGTGTAATAAAAACGCTTATGCATAAACCTTTTTGAATCTGAGGCTTTTAAAAGAATGTCATATCTCAGGCTTATCATACTTGGGAAAATACCAATAGCACAAAATCTACCGCAAATAATTTGGGCTTTTATTATCTCAACGAAAAAGAAGAGAACATCAAAAACCAACATAAAAATGTTTTTATCTGCCTTTATTGTTCCACATCTTCATACTAAGAATTCTTTTTAAGACCATTAAGTTTTGTAAACCATTTGAGTTGCAGGATTGACTTGCTGATAATAACTGCTCTGTGCTGTTATTATTAATTGTGATTATAAATTATGTTATTTGACGAAGAAGAAATAACTATGTTGGATCAAACTAGAAGGAAATATTATGAAAAGCCACGGGAACGCAACCGAGAAGAGGATTTAACTCACTCCAACTAGACATGGAATTTTGCATAATCATCTAGCAACCTGCCTAACCTAAATTTTTAAAGTTCAAATCATAAAAGTAAAAGCCACTGATCATTTTAAGCCTTGGGAACATTCTGGCAAATTACCGGAAGTTGCGTTTACGGAAGCATGAAAAATGCACGGTCAGCAAAATTTCAAATTTTTCTGACCTATAAGCAAAAAGTTATGGCTGTTGAAACTTTCGTTTTGTCAAACAATTTTTGACAACTTGTGCATGTTACGATAATAGCATTTACGATCATAGAAGTTTTGTAAAAGTAAACCATTCGAAATGCTGAGTACGGTGAAATACATATTAAGCTTCAAAAGTGCCCCCAAAAGCTATTTTTAAACTGAGGTACTGGCATCCAGTCCTCTTTTAGTTATAGCACAACAACGTTTTAACTTTGCAAGCTTTAAAACTGAAACCTTTTTTTCTGGCTTAATTTGACGCGCTGAATAAAATGAGATGCACAGCTTTAAAAATTGCACTAGAGCAATTTTTAGACTACTTACTTGTACACAATTCTTTATTGGGTCTTGCACTTTAACTTTGTGATTATAGAAGTTATACGACTGAAACCTTTTTTTCTTGGCTTAATCTGAAGTGCTAGATAAAATGAAATCCAGTCTAGTTACAAAGTCGAGTCTGCGAAACAAAAGCATCAATTTCATGCTATTATCATAACATGCACAATTCTGCTGCTATAACGAAACTTAAGATGTGACATAATTGCAAATTAGTGGGACAAGTTGCTGCTTATTTTCCTTGACCAACGGACGGGACAAGTTGCTGCTTATTTTCCTTGACCAACGGACTGAACCTGTGCAGGAATTCAGCGTTTTATCCTTGTGCAATCTTTAACACTTTTAGTTACGTAGTTATCAAGCATTATGCTGATACAGATGCCATTTGGTGGAAATACCGTGAATACCACTTGAAGGCAAGGGTTTGAAATGGGATGAAGAGCGAGATATTCTGATGCCTCATTGGTTCACTGGAAGACGAATGCCACCTTCTTTTGCAAGCAGATGGACGAAGAACAGGATAATAGTTGACTCACAAAATTCTGCACAATCTGAAAGTGAAGATTCACCGAAACCAAAAAGGATGAAGAAATGGAATATTAGAAAGCAAGCTAAAAATGTTTTTCATTGTAAATAGTTCAGAGATTCTAATGAAGGCGACGATGATGACGATGGAATCGCACGCATGAAAGATGAGTCAGACCGGGAAAATATGACGTCATCATTCACTTGACTTAGAGACCACGCCCAAAATGACACCTGGTGGTTTTCGATCCTCCTTTTCATACTGAATTCAGATCGAGTGAAAAATTTGTGATTAGGCAGTTTGCTAGATGGTTACAGCTATTTCCCTGCCTAAATGGTCCTGATACAGGATGCAGGGAAACGTACTCAATGATTATGATACCGGGGCTGACTAAAGACCCGAGGGTCCGTGGTTCAAGCCCCTGGCATGAACAAACTTTCACCCAGAGTCACCCAGAGCGAGGGGAGTCACCAGCTCTCTGTAATTCCAGGCATAAAAACCACGAGGTGTGGTCATATCGAGAGGAAGGACCAGGACACTGCTCGATAAGCATAAGCTTCTCAGTGTCCTAAAAACTACCTTCGGATGCTAGGTAGAAGCAAACAAACAAACAAACAAACAAGGTAACAGAATATCTGGAAAATTAGACACCATTATGTCAATCAGTAATGTTAAAGAAGTAGCAAGTATTTTAAAATTTTTTCGGATATGCACAAAATAAAAGTAACCAGCAAGTAACCATGAGTTTTATTCAAAATTATCCTTCCATGGGAATTTAGGTAATACGCCGAAAGAGGTAATAGCATTTTAATAGCTTTGTAAAAAATAACAAAAGGTTTGGGGAGGGGTTCAAAGTGACCATTGAAAGCAATGGTTACAAATTATCAAATTTAACTTATTAATCGAAAAAAACATAATAATAAAAAATAGTTATGAAAAAGGTTGTTGCTAGCATTGATAAAGTGTGAGAATACAAAAATTCTTACCTGCAATAACGCAATAATTCTTGTTTATTGGTTGTTGATAATTGCGAGAATTGACACTCGTTTACAATGTTATTGATCTCTCGGGCTGATTCGTTTTTATTTATGCAGATTGACATTGTTTTACAGACATTCGTGATCATTTGAGCTGATTCGCGACGACTTTCGCAGCTTTATTGTGACTCGTGATGATTCTTGATCACTCACACTGATTCACGATTATTAATTAACACTGCTTCATGGTGATTAATGCTGATTCAAAGCGATCTGCATTCATTCAGAAAGTTTCATGGAGATTGTCAGCAGTATCAAACAGCTTTGCTAATAATTGGAAATGTTATCGAACAGAAAACCTTAATTCCCACAATAGCCATTTCTTCCATTGTACGAATGCACAATTGCCAAATTGCTAGCGTTGCAACTTCCTTCGAAGCTGTGCCAACTTCTCTTTTGGCAAGGCCAGAAAATTCTCTAATTACATAAAGATGACATAATTTTGTATCCAAAAGCAATAGTAAGCGGTACACTAATTAGAGGAAAATGGGAATTCTTCGTATAACATTCTGTTACGGAAACTTTCAGACATAACGAGGGTAAGCAGGGCCATCGAAACAAAATTGGGGGGCTGCCCATTGTTTTCCTTCTCATTCAGTAAACTGTTATAAAGGAAGCATACTAAAGTTTGACAATTATTGGGGGGGGGGGCTCCAGCCCCCTCCAGCCTAGCGCAGAACCCCGGTTCCGACGGGCCTGGTAAGACTGCGCTAGTTCTGCGGGGTTCCCGAAAAATTTTAATATGCTAAAGACTTCTAAATACTAATGAAGTTACTCATAGCGAAATGCAAGTCCAACAGGCTTCAGATACTTTTCAATTGCTTCATCCATTCGCTTGTTCATCTCTTCAGTGAAGTAGTTCTTCCAATCTCCTACCTCACCTTTTCGAATAAAGCTCCCTTCTTTCTTCAAGATCTTTCCATCTTGGAGTCCTTCTAAATTCACAGACTTATTTTGTTTCATTTTCTTAAAGCTTAAGTGATCAACCAAAATCCCAACTTGCTCTTCTGTGATTTCCTTCCCCAGAAATTTTGCCACCTTTCTGATATTGCCTGCCAAATCAGCTTTTAGTTCTTCATAAAACAAAAGGCAAACATTTGGGTGATCTCGTCGCTTCCAAGCTTCAATGGTGTATTCAAAATATGGCGTGAAAACCACCAAGTTATCCATGAAGAGTTCGAAGTAGGTTGCGAAATCACCGTTGTAGTCATGCACGTGAAGTAACTTTTCATGGTGGAAAAATGAGACTACTGTGTCTTTTGGATTTCTCAAACATATCACTACCCTGCTTTTGTCGAGTAAGTCGTCGGGAAAATGGCAAAACGGAAGGTGAGATTTCAAGACTCTCGGTGAATCCATGGTCGCTACCATTTCGTGGAAACCTTCAAAGCGGGAACGAGCCTCATCTAAAAAGTCAACAATAACTGGTCTTTCCAAAAAAGGGACTCTTTCCATGGCTGCAATGGCTTTTGCCTTGTCTATGTCACAGTTGTTCTGCAGGCACCAGACGAGCTCTTGTACCCAGGTTGTGCCATTTTTAGGAAAGGTAAAAACATAAACATCTTCTGAGCGGACGTCCCAGTTGCTAAATCGATTCTTGAATTTTTCATAGGCCTTAGGCAAAATGCAGTTTCCAGGCACAGTTCTCACGAACCTTTGTCCTAATTTAACGAATGGGGTTGGGTAAACCTTTTTCAACCGCTCAGTGTCGCTGTCAGAGAGTGGCACAAGCTGAATGTTCGCCATTATTCTTGCTGAAGAATAAATCGCATTACCTCATTAAACTGATGAGAAACAATGGCATACCTACACAACAATGTATTTATTGTCTATTGTTTGTTGAACTTCAAGGATCCTCGAAATTAGTGAAGCGTGAGAAATTAGTACAAGTAAGAGGCGTCCTTTGTTACGAAATAGAAACTCACTGAAATAGAAACCTTGTTCTTTGTTTCGATAAGCCGATAATTAGTTTGGGGCGACTCTTCATTATTGGAAAAATCGATTATGCTTGGCTACGTAGAAGAAAAAGTGACCTACTGCCAAACACAAAGACTTTATACGAAACCGTTTGAGCTTTTCTGTCGATCGATAGCGGTCGAGTAGCCTGCGCGCAGACTCGACTGGTTTTCCCAGAGGTGAATTTAGTTGAATGGATGAATTTTCCAATCAACTAAATTTCCAATCAACTAGATTCATCTCTGGGAAAACCAGTCTAGTATGCGTGCAGGCTACGGTCGAGAGGCCTGCCAACCAATCGGATTCTGAATAAAATGGCATGTGATTAAGATTCTTTGAAATCAGGAAATGGAGAAACTAAAACAAACCTTGTGAATGTGTAGGCCTACAGTATATGTACATTCTATACCCTGCCGCGGTAAGAGTTATCATGGGCGGTTCTTAATCGATCTAGAACGAATCCTGACCGCCACACAGGCAAAGTAGGGTCATTAGGCCTAGCCTTGTATTTAGGGTCATTAGGCCTAGCCTTGTATATCCTTTCCTTTGCCACACCCACTAGTTCTTCGAAAACATCTCTTTTTATCAGGGATCACAGAAGCCGCGGAGGGATTGAGGGGTGCTTTGTTTTCACAATTTTATTCAGTTTTTATTGAGAACGAAATTCCTTCCTTCTCGCGGATCTCACCTGAGCGGGCTGGCCCACTCTCCATAAAACGCAAATACAGAGAACAATGGAATGTATAGAAAGCACGAATCCCACTCGAGTTAACCAGCCCACTTAAGTGGGCTACCTACTTCATGTAAACAGGCCCTTAGTTGAACTATTACTGTACTTATGTGGTTTTAAAGGATTAAGGAAAAATATACTCTTAAACTCTTCTATATTTTATTTTTCTTATAATTATCTGCTGGGGGCAAAAGATCTGTTTCTGTAAAAATTTCGCAGCAGTTTCTCCATTTTTGGAAAGCTGAGCAGAGGCAGGGGTGCTTGCGGTGTACACTTTTCTCGTGATAATAGATTTTGATTCATAAACTGCAACGATCTGTATGAGTATGAACAAAAAAATATTGAGATTTCAAGATTTCTTTTCTAGAGTTCAAGTTTTCTTTTCTAGATTTGAAGATTTTCTGAACGATTTTAGGTTTTTAGTGAGATTTCTTAGATTTCATGATTTATTTAAAGATTTTGAGATTTCAGCAAATTTTAAAGAGATTTTAGGCACTTTTTTGACAATTGGTGGAAGGTGCACGTGGTTTTTAGGAGTAATTCACCCCACGGTATTTCTACTTTCATTTTACACAATTGCAGCTTTTGATTTATAGTAAAAAGTTTACATTTATGATTTTATCAACAACCCTTAAAAACAATTTCTAAATCAATAAATATTGTTGATTCCCTTTTTCCTTTCCGAGAATTACTTTCTGTTAAACAGATTCGCAGCCTGACAATCGACGTCGAGAGCGGTCGACAGGCAAAATGAAACTGGTCCGCCGGCGCGGATTAGCGATCGAAGTCGATCGCTCTGTGTGATTTCACTCGTGCTCTCTGTGATTTGTTGATATTGATTGACACATGGAGTCATGGTAAATAGGCCAAAAGTTAGCTTTAATTCAAAAACTTAGGGTCTCCGCCCTTAAGACGCCCCCTAAAAAATTTGTATTTTACTTCATATAAAGTTGAAGCTGATATTCTGGATCAGCCCACTTAAGTGAGCAGCTAGATCAGTGAGGATATGATGAGCGGGTTCAAGAGGCCCAAAGCCTGTATGATATCAGTCTTAATTAATGGAAAACATCTTGATTAGCATTGCATGCTTTATCTTTACTGTTTTTCTAATGCTGATAATTCGGAGGGGGGAGGGTGGGCTACCATAGTGGCCTAGTGTAGGTCAGTGAAGTATGAAAGCAATGAGAAAAAAATGAGAAATGAAAAAATGCAAAGCCAATAACTCGGTATGCCAATTAGTTTTGGCAGGTATTGCATATCGAAATGCGAGGCATAGATAATTCACAAGTGTCAATGAAATGGCATCATGAATGATGGGAGCTGCTCGAGTTCTAGGCAAAGCAAACAAGAATGAAGAATTACAAATTTCATTTCAAAATTCAAATATGTTTATTGAGAGAAAATACTATAAAATCATCTAGAGCAAGTCCCAATTCTACTTTAGTAATCAAAAATACGATGTCGAACGGACTAGTTATGTATATTTGATAAAATTGGTAGTTAATAGCACCAGAATACATTGACATTGACCAGAATACAGAATACATTGAACGATACAAGCTAGTGCTAAAATAATCGTGTAGTTACTGTTAACCTTACTTTTCATCATTCAGGCAAAAGTGGAATGGACAAGAAAACCAGCATTGTTTGTCCCGCACCCTTCTCCACAATTTCTATGCACAGAATTTGTTGGTGTGACGTGTGTAAAATATCGTATGAATCGAAAACTCTTTTAAAGTTAGGATTTTCTTTGTATTGATATGACAGGCACCGCGGAGCGTTGAGAAATGGGGGGGGGGTCTGAAAAAATTGGGGGGGGGGAATATACAGGCATCGTAAAACCGTATAAAAAGAGGCTTTTCTGGTAGTTTGATACTTAATATTTGGCATTCTTTGCAAAAAATGCCTGTATAATGGTGTTGTTAAATGCATCTGGTGAGTATCCTCATATTATGCTTAAAATCCAACTAATAATAATCAATAATAGATTCAATTGTAAAAAGTTACTTGCTTCGCTTGAACGCGTTTAGACCGATTCTTGAAGCCTCCTATATTCATGAACACTACCCCTCTCTGTGTAGGTCTTTGAGGAGCTTTCTTGAATCTTACGCTTTTTCGAAGGATTTTCGGCCTCTGTCGTTTCGCTTCCAACGAGAGCTGCCGCATCTGCGAGTAGTTGCTGGTCTTCGTCATTCGATTCACTAGATATAGGCTTGCCATATCCTCCTCCGCCAGGGCTTTCTAATCGGAAACAGTCCTGTGACATAAAGCGGTCGCATGTATCAATAGCTGATCAACGAATCCCTAACAAGATTTTGAAACCTGGTTATATGCCAAATAAATTTTGTCTAAAGAAGTAAGCTCTTATATACTGGCTCAATCACAGTTCATTTGAAAAATCGAACCGGGTTTAAAAGAATAAATCTTACCATTAGACCATGGCGGAATGATTCGATTTTCTAATAAATCTAGACGTTGTGCTTTAGTAATTAATATAGGATGAATCTTCTCTCAGAACCTCATAGATTCGATTTCGTCAAAACCAAACTCTGTTTTAAAAATTGTTTTGAATTTTACAATACCCTGAACAAAATACATTCAGTATACTAACTAAGATACTGTAAAGCACTTTTGTGAGCTTTTTAACCGATACAAGACTCTAGACTTGAGTTGATGTTAATCACCCATCTTTAAGCAAATAGCCGAGCATAAACAAAACACTGGACCATAAGGCTGGTACATTTTATTCGATTAAATTGACTCACCCCAGGAAGGACTGGAACAGAGGCTTTTCCTTGCAAGTTGATCACTCTGTTGTCTGATTTTATCAGAAAATTTCGACCCCGTTTCCCTGGTAGTCCACCTGATAGAAAACAGAATCAAAGTGCAGAAACAAACTGCAGCAACAAAAGGTAAAAATTTTACAAAAGGCAGCAAATTTAACAAAAGCAGTTTCAAATCTGGCCGGTTCAAAATCGTGTTTGGTTTAACAAATATTTTGCAGCACATAGTGGCAAGAAAACATGGGAGTCATACGGTCAATAACCGTGAAGAAAGCCAATGAAAAAGAATTACATTGTCACACCCAAACCGCACCCTGCTTTCTTTGCCCGGAGGAAGAACTAGCCCTTTTCTGGACTCTGGCAGCGCAAAGACAGAAATTTCATAAACCTATTTTGTATCTCAGGAACGAAAATTGGAAACAATTTATTCAGGCTTTCTGTCTCGAAAAATTTTACTTTGTTCATCTTCTCCGGAAAGATTATAGAACTGTGAATAATGTAGCCAGTGTCCCAGGCCCCGAACTTGAAAGTAGAGTTAGGGGTCTGGAGCACAGGCTAGAATAATATTGGTCTTTTCTTTAAAGCGGCTTTATCATAAACATATAAATTTAAAAGCTAAGATAAGAGATTAACTAACACGCAAACATACCTTCAAGTCCATATGGCCTAAAAGCTCTTCTTTCTGACAAAATTGATAACGTCAAATCTTTCCTAAAGTAAAGCTCTCTTATAATTCCATCCCCACCAGAGAATTCACCTTTACCTCCAGTTCCTTTGTTCAAGGAAAACTGCCTAAGCATCACGGGATACCTAAAGAAGAAAATAGTTGTTTAAGCAAAAATTCGTCATTCGCTTCTCTCGAGAACCCATTTCATGACATTGCTGGCATTATTCTAGTCAGTTCTGTATCTAATGGAAATAGCCTGAATAATCTCAGTTGCATTTATCAATTGTGTAGTGAGAGCTTCTCAGGGAAGTCAATAAATGATGAGAATTCCACATTATATCTTGCAGTACAAAACAACCAAAGATCACACACGGTATTCGTATTTTCCTAGAAATTCTTACAATCACTGCTTTTTTTTAATTCTTCGTATATCTGGGAACTTTAGTATTTATCAGGACACTCGCGTTCCCGTTCGCAGCCTACCCACACATGCAGGATGGCAGCCATTACGGCCTTTTCAAATGCAATAATCGTTCCAGTTTCATTATAGATCAAGGATGATTCTTGACCAAGGTTTAAAAGATAACTGCTGATAGCAAATAGAATACGCGCCCATACCTTCGTTCAAGAATTTCTGGGTCTGTGATACGCGTGTTTGTCATATGGGTGTGTACACCACCACGACCGTGCCAACCTGGCCCCTAAAACAAATGGACAGCTTCAAACATTAAACTACCAGAACAATTCTGCATGATAAAGCACGGGTCCCAAAATAGTTCAATGCAGAGCTTTAACCCCCCCCCCCTCCTCAAAGCTTTTACATTTCCCCATACCATGGCTATACTTCCCCATTTGTTTTTCATATTTTTTCGCAGAATCCCTTCCCATCTGAGAAGAACATGCCACTAAGAAGGCACTTTTTGAAATGGCAATTTGTGGCATAAAATTTATCACTTTAAATACCTACGTCAGTTTGACCTAGGCCGCCCTCTCTACTTGGGAATATGTGATAGTTTCTCTTTTTTAATATTCACATAAAATTTTTACAAAACATACACAAATTTACCAAACGATACCACAGTGAGCATGGGAATATATAGCAACCCTGTGGTAATTTACATTCAACATATAAAACTAAATTAACTACAATTTAAAGATACAAAATGAACGAAAAGAATAAATATATAATTAACTACAATTTAAAGGTGCCAAATGAACGAAAAGAAGGAATAGAAACTATTTTTAGAAAGAGGAGAGGAGAGAGGAAATATGTTGTTTGTATTACCAGTTTATTCAAAACGTTTAGAGGCCTGGATATATTTTAGCGTTGCAACGAGAATTTTCGAATTTGATTCGAGTGGTAATTCTTCATGGCCATAAAGGATGATTTTTAGCAGATCTTCATTTGAAAGATTTATCAGACCATGAGGCAATAATATCGCATTTAAACTGTTGAGGAGATCACAACTATCTACGTTGAAATTATGGCAGAGCAGGAAATAGGGCTCCGTGTCCTCAACACCGTTATTTATTAGGCACAAAGGGCTCTAAGTGTCGTTAAAATTGTGCTTAAATTTATGGAAATTTAGCTTACTGAATCCAACATGTAGCTGCGTTAAGATAGATAGGCCATTTGGGCCATGAATATTGTAGACTGGTTTAGGAGGTGAATGGATAATGGAAAACAATTTTTTCTGGAAAACATTTACCGAGGTCGATTGCCTAATCTCAGGATCGAGCTTTTCCCATTCCAACAAGCAGTTGGGATAGAAGCTCTGTTTAAAACTGTTTGTTCTTGCACATATTTGCCCAATCGTGGTGCGTCTGCGAAGGTCATAATTTGATTTTTGAAGATCGGGAATTAGATGTCTCGTATAATCTGGTGTTAGGTTTTTAACTATTTATAGAAGAGGATGAAACGTCTACTCCATCGTCCGAGGTTTAACGATTCCCACCCAAGCTTATCATACAGCTTCTCACGAGAAGTACTTTTCCAAGCACCTGTCACTGCTAGTGCAGCAGAATACTGGGTAGATTCAAGTTTTTCCATTTGATTGGTTAGGATGACGCGATGGCTGAACTCGCAAATTTTGCTTGGTGTATGATATATGACGTCACCGTAACTGAAATGTGGTCGAACATACAGTTTATACATTTCATTTAGGGTATGCTGTGGTAAATATTTTGAGAAAAATCTCAACATTCCTATTCCTTGTCTGCACTTTGAAATAATGGCTTTGATGTGACTGGAAAAGGACAGTTTTGAGTCTAATATAATTCCAAGATGCTTTTGCTCCAGGACGTTCTTGACAGGGACATCATTAAATAGTATGGGAGGGTGATTTACTGGACATCTTTTTTTAGAAAGTCACCTCCACCGCTTCCTTAATTGGGTTTGGATTAAAGGACATTCTCCATTTAAGAGCCCAATGATTAGTTTCTTTCGAAGCTTACGAAACTCAAAACATCTTTGAACATGATCATGAGAGCAACTGGGAGCTTGAACCCTGGACCCAGACGAAGACACGCTATTAGACCATTCGCATCTCGTGCCCTTCCTATTTATGCTCCTGCATGGCATACATTTAAACAACTCACAGCGCCAGCACCACCAGCGACTGTCTCACAATATCCAAGCTTGTCATCACCAAACGTAGTGACGCCCATGCACCCCTGCAAAGTTAAAAATGCAAAGAAACAGAAATAGAAACTGAAGAAGAACCTACAGCTCCAGCTCCGCCTGCTACTGTTTCGTAATATCCAAGATCTTCGTCTCCAAATGTCGTATTATTCATACAGCCCTGTTGGTATCAAAAAGTATCTACATGCTCTTTTATTCAATAACGATGACAAAAAATCCGGGAAAATGTGCCCAAATTCCCCATCTGTCGCAAGCATACAGTTATCACCCGGCCATAAAAACCTACTCTTGTTAGTGCATAAAGAAAGGAATTTTGAAATCGGGGCCCACCTTCATAAGAACCATCTCTGCCTGAATAAAAGTTAAAACTTAAAAACAATACAGTTTAAAAACCTTTTCAATCTTATGCTATTTATCTAGAAAAAGAAACAAGATTGAAAACGTTTACTTTCCTGCGGTATCCAATTTAACGCTGCAATTTTATTCAGAAAATATTTGAAGGTGTTGGTCCAAGAGTATAAAGTAGCTTAATAATTTTTTAAAAAACTCAACTACTTCAAGAGCACGAAAAGCTTAATTTCTCGCTTAGGTGATATTAAGACCTTGGTGACATTACAAAAGAACTATTTTTGTATATCTGATGGTAATATCTTAGGTTCTTTTACTATGCCTGGCATTGCGGAGCGTTGAGAAAATAGGGGGGTGGGTAGGTGGGGTAAATAACTGGGAGGATGAAACCAGCTGATAACCCATTTATGAATTTTTCGCATTTTTGGCAAAAATTGTGGGGACTAAAACCCTCCCCTACTCCGCGGTGCCTAAATTGTTGATACTGTATTGGAAAAAATCATGTTCAAACAAGGTACACGTTAGATAATGGTAACCCCATAAATAGGGAAGCATCGAGAGTAGAAGGACTTCGAAAAGAGTTGGGCTAAATAGAAGCCTTACGGTAGGATTGTGTATCAGAAATAACAGGGATGAAACAGGATTCCGTTGAATTAAGTTAAAGCCTTTGAATAGAACATACCTGTGAAGCAGCACAAGTTCCAAATGCCTTGAAAATTACGTCGACAACTCGCTGGCAAGTTAAGACATTGCCACCAACAACTGCTGCAGTTTCAGAAGGATCAATCAAACTGCCTTTTGGAATGACAACCTCAACCGGGGCCAAGCATCCCTGAAGGAAGCAAACAGGACACGTTTTCAGTTTGAAGGTTTGCTTGTCTCACTAATCAAAATCACTGTTTACAAGAATGCCATAAAGTGCTCGATGCCGTATAAGCAGAACTGTACACTCTTAGGACGATTCTAGGACTCTGGTGTATAGAATAGGACGATTCTAGGATGTGATCATCAAGAAAAAGATGTCTCTGTGGAACTAAATGGACTTTGCATGAACTTTAAAGGAATATGCAGGTAATTTGTCCATATCATGTCGATTCATGGCCCTAGGCCTCCTTAATATATCGGGGCAGACACAAAATAAACTGCTTGCAAAAATGTGATTGGGTCAAGGCAGTGATACTAAAGTTCGTGGTGAAAACGAGCCCATTGGTGTTTTGGTGCAGTTTATTCAAAAAGAGATCATTGGTGTTAATCCTCTTCTTCATCGAATGTAGAAATGAATTATTTCCATCTCTACGTACTGATATTACTGATGCATCAGTACTGAATGATTTTAATCAAACAAAACCTATTGAATTTATTTATTTAACAGGTATGTATTCAAAATTTTGTCATTAAAATTTTCTGTTAATTTTAGTGCAAAAAATGTTTCATAAAGGGGAGGACACTTAGTTAAATATTGGGGGGGGCAAGCCTATTGTTTTGATGAGATGACGTCACAATTCCCATTGTTTTAGAACAAAAGACCATTGATCTTCACATAACTATTATTTATCAAAGAAAGCGTGCGACAAAAGATTTCATATGGCCTAACCTGATTCAAAGGCACATCATGGCCGACCATACATCGAAGACAATATATTAAAGCTGACAGCGTAACAGCTCTCGGGGCATTGATATTACCCCAAACTTCGTGGCCGGTTCCAGTAAAATCGATCTTTGCTGTACCCTGAAGAAAAATAGAATCTTTGTATAAACTAATAACTCGATGGTATCTGGTTAGAGAATTGAAAGTTGTTAGTTGTGTAATTGATTGTGACATGATAACTAAAAGAGCAACAAATTAGAAAAAGGTGAGCTAAGGCAGTCAAATAACAGACCTCAGTCTCGTTGATCGAGATTTTGAGCTTGATTGGTGAACCATCGTCCATGTAATCAATGGCTGATAAGTCAGTCTTACCAGTTCGGGCCTAAAGAAGAATTTTTCAGAGTAGGATAATTAATAGCTAGATATTTAGAATTGCATAACTCATTTGTCTATTGTACGACAAAGCCTGGAACACTGTAATCTATAAAATTTTTATTCTATATTGACAAGAGAGGGCTCAATGATCTCATCATCTTAAGATTTATTTGAGGACTAACAGTAAACGCAGCAGAAATAATATCATAAGATTAAATTCATTTTCTATAAAAAACTACATAGATGAGAAGAATATTGTGGTAACTAAAGTTCGTTGAGTTCGTTGCCAACTCGTAACATAGTTGCTGATTATGGAAGCTTTAGGGAACTAAGAATGTCAATTGCAATGCCCATTGAGACTGTGTCTTCTAATTGACTATATTCATTACTTGTGACGATGAATAATTCTCAGCTGTCGATTCCCAAAGGCATTAAAACAGCCCATTTGCCTCAATATTAGAATAGTAGTAAGTGTTTACAAATATCCCATGGGCTTTACAATACTTGAAATCCACCTACATTTATGCCACAAAAAACTCACTTTGGTTTTCTTTGCAATCTCTTTCAACATTTCCCTTACAGCAATCTCTGCATTTTCCTGCAAACGATTATGAGGAAATCAAGCTTATTAAAATAACTACAACAGCCCTCTCTAATTTTTCTTTTTCTATCAGATTGTATATTTTAAATAGAAAACCATCCAAAGATTAAAAAAATCTTACCTAAACAGAAAACTTATCTGATACTCTCGGGTGTGTCTAATAAAAGGTAGATGTCGGATTATTATTAAGAGAACGAAACGAGAAGTTGTCATACTGGCAAATCCAAGAAAAAGATTCTTAAACGGGCTTACTTTGTTTGGAAGACATGACCAAACAGAAGAAGTAACATTATTTAATGGCTATATAGCATACTATACAGGACCCGTATTCCTAGCATCAAGAGCCGTTGCAGAGTTTAACATAACAATGTTTTTAAAAAGGAACTTTTTCTATAATTAGCTAATATAAGAACTACCTGCCTGAACCAACGTTTTTATGCAAACAATCTTTTGGTGGTACAAAACTTGAAAATGGCTAAGAACAAAGCAAACATTTAGTAAACTAAAGCTTTTCGTCTGACACTCTTCAGAGTTTAAAACGTCTGAACATAGATCGAAAACTCTACGCTAGGAAATATATATACCCAGTTGTGGATCGAAATAGGCCAATCAGAAACACGAGCACATGACTGTTGAGGTTGACCAATCAGTGCCGCGTTTTTATCTATTCTGGATTCATATAAGCCGATTATCAAGTCAGACTATCACGTCTATTCACTAAGTAACTACCTGTATGTATCCCATGTAATCTTGTACGACTTTTAATCCGTACTCTCTTATCAAATCCTGGATTAGTTGGATTCCCTGAAAAATGAATCAAAATTACGCTAATAGCTGGCTCGCTTGAAATAAGAATAATAAAGCATTCCTTTAAAAACTTCCTTTAAAAACACCGACTCAGAGACATCCAGTATAGAGGATCGTCTCCAGAATAAATTTGGGATATAAAGAGCGTTCTAAACATTGGGTTCTAACTATACCATTAAGTCTTCAGGGGGAAAAAATACCCGAAAATACACGTTTTGACTTAACAGTTCTTAGATAAATAGTTTCGTAACAGTCATTAAAATAAATAACGAGCTTTTTCGTTATCAGTACCGATTAATTTTTTAATAATTTTTTGCTTTTAGCAGCAAATTTCTTCAAAATCTGTTTTTGGTTTTAAACAAAAAATCGAATCTATAAAAAATTTCATATTTCTAGCAGAAATACATCCCTAATATTCACAGATTGCAAGGAACTAAGCATGCGGTAAAAGGCCTCCACTTGTTCGTCCAACCTTGCAGAGGGTACACTTCGTTAATGCACAAAACCGAACCGAATATTCCTGATACGGCAGAATGAAAGACAAAACAGATAGTGATGTCTCAAATCTCGTCATAGTCAACTAAACGACAAACACGAACCTTTTGATTGGCAGCGACCTGAGCCCTCAAGTCAGATATGTTGTCACTCAGGTTGCGAGTGCCAGAGCTTCCTGGATGCTTCTTGGGTTCGTGTAGCAGAGAGTTTATCAATGCTGTTTAAAGAGGCAAAAGCATAAGACATTAAAAATAATGCTCATGATGCTATCGATTAGATAAACTGCTGGGTTACAATTGCAGTACTAAAATTATCGGAAATGATAGCAGTCAAATAACCTGGTTCTCAATGTGATATTATTTTTTGCAGTGTACTCAGTTCACAATTTTTGAAAACATACAGTCACTTGCAGATACAAACAAACTTAAGGATCCAAGCCATCTTCTACAGATAGTCGAATTTTTTAATTTACTATGCATATCACGTTCCTGATACTTGGGTTTTCGTCTTCAGTAAGTCCTGATACACTGTAATATCCCTAATACCAATTCTTTATCATAAAGAAGAAAGTTTGTAACAGCGGGCGTTCGTTATACTTAGGGTCGTAATATTAGGGTCATTATTCCAAGGTAGGTGATTCTAAGTGGGTATTCCAAGGAATTAAAATTTTAGTCTGTGATAGGCGAGAGGGGCGTAATATGAGAGGATTCATAATAGCGGGATTCCACTGTGTACATATATCTTAAAACATACCATCTTCTTGAAACACTCCATTCTCCACCAATTTGAAAGACATAAAGACAGCACCCTCTTCAAAAATGGATTTGGAATGAGGAGGCATGGAACCTATAGAAACAAGATTATAAAATTCCAATACTGTGAATACAAGTCTCTTACTAGCTGTTAAGGTAGGATGGGGAGGTTATTAAAAAAAGTCTTTCTATAAGCAAAGTTTATTTGATTAGGGGAAAGCTTTTGAGTACAAGAAGAAAATCCTAACAAGTGATTTCAAAAGGTTTATGGATATGAAAATTTGTATTGAGAAATTGCAAGTGACATAGCGCAACCAAGCTAGTCTAAGAAAGCTGTTGTGCTTCTTCCTACAAGCAGTAGAAAACATTGAAGATTAGCCGATTGGTTCCTTAACAATAGGTCTATTGTATAGTCTAACCAATGGGAAATTGAATGGTCAATGAAATGCGTCGGGGTTTTAGTGCCTTTAACATAAAGGATACATTTTTTAAAACAAACCTAACATTTTGTAAATGTAATATTCAAAAATACTTCTTTGGCAATAACTGTAAAATTAATTTCTATCATTTGAATAAAACAAATAAAATTCTGCTTAGCAACATCATCTGCTCAAACAAGCTGAAACGTAAGTTTGAGCATTCAGGCTATCACTTTTTACATCTTTCGAGCCATGTTGAGTTAAAGCTTGACCCACGCACCTGGTGTGATGCCACCAATGTCGGCATGATGTCCACGACTCGCAACATAAAAAACAGGACGTGGATGCTCTTCATAGAAAACCTATGAAATAGTACGAAGTCGCAATGCTGAGATGACCTTCGTGAAAGAGCAATATACAAGTTAGAAAACACGTGGGAGGAAGAAAACCTTATTTGACATGTCCCAAACATGTTTTAAAACTACCAGATGGCAAAGAGCAGAGCCGTGGCTAATTTATGCGATACCTTAGGGTGATGAAAAAAGCTTTCTACATAAGTGCTAAGCATGCCTAAGTTATCGTGTGGGTGACCTTAAGTGAAATGCAAAGAGCATTTTAAGAAAATTTACGCCTCGAATTATCCTAAAAGCCAGGTTTCAAAAAGTTTATCCATGGGTCCTTCCAAATGCCATAAGCAAAATCAAAAAGCTTTTTACATCTGCAGCCGTACTTTCACATGTTTAATTTGAATTTTCCAGGTGAAGTACATGTTTCGGATTGTCCACGCATTGTGTAACTCAGACCTGTATTCGAAATGAAAACCAATCCAAATTGAAGTTGAGTCGGCGTCGTGTAACACAGAATGAAGTTCTCTAAACGTATATAACGCCTGAAGCCACTGGTCACTTTGAGCAAACTTGTGAACATTTTCAGTGTTAGCTTTCAATTTATGCCTGAATTACACAGCCTGATAAAAGTGTATTTAATACGTGAAAGTTATGAGATACGTGGAAATGGTACATACTGGAGTTATGACAGTAAGGTCTGGGAGATGGCTGCCCCCAGCCGATGGGTGGTTACTCAGTATGACGTCACCTTCTTTTAGGCTATCACCAAGAGCATTTATCTGAAAAGGCAAAATAAAAAACCTGAAAGATTTACAATGCATTAAGAAGATTCGATATTTATCATCTCTCTAAATAAGAGATTTATGCGTAAGATTGCGCGTTAGTTTAATGTCTCAGAAGCTCTAGCTAAAGTCAATAAAAATATGCTCACTAAACTAATAGAGATTTTCTGTGAAAAAGAGAAAGAGGCAGCCAAGAAATAAAAATACACACAAATAGCCTCAATCTGCGGAATATTTTTCCGAAGCGAGGCTACCCAGCCAAGAAATGATTTATTTACGTCTTTTTTTCATAGCCTAAAGCAACTGAGCATTGCAAAACTAGATGCAAAGAAATATTTTTGACATCAAATCAACTGCGCATGCATGATAGCATATAAAGGAAATTGAGAAAGGATAAATTGAACGCACCTGGTACCGCACAGTTTCCTGCATCGCACCAAGATGAACCGGAATATGTGGTGCATTCGCAACTAAGCCACCATCTGGTCCAAACATTGCACAAGAAAAATCCAGCCTTTCCTTGAAGGAATTCATACAGAAGGAATAAGAGTAAACTTTTTCTTGGATAACGGGCTTAGGCTGGTCGGAGGGGCGGTCGGCCGGATGATCTGAGACTATTAAGAGATTGTTATTAGTGAAGTTGGCCTCCTTTGCGATCAAGACACATGAGCTGATATCCCAATGAAGATACAGAACAATTTTAATATATGGTTTTCTACAGATAAAATTCACTCATAGACATGGAGCAATAAGAAATGAAACAGCAATCAAAATATGACAGCTTTTCATTTCTAGCAGTCATTGCAATATTCTCAATAATCGTTGCACTGTAAATTTTTGTGCATTATTCATTAAATTTAAAATTACTTGGTACGTCCAAACCATCGGATTGTTCCACCTTTCGTCACATACTTCACAATATTAGACACATGTCTTGAAATATGACTGACTGGATAACCAGCGGCTTCTGCGTAATGATTACGCATGCTCTTCCTTGAAAACATTTGTGCAAGCACCTTAATCTGGAAGCCTTTCCTTGCTTTTAAAAATACACCTCTGCGTACAATTCACTAATTTACAGAATAAGGTTAGGACATACATCTTGATTGTACGAATGCTGTCAATTTCGGAGTAAAAGATGCTTGATTAATAAACTTGGTCATCAGGAGAATCAAAATACTTGAAAAGGTTTCTTTACCTTTATATTCGTTGAAATTGAGGTTCTCTGCAATACCCTGGAAAGACATTATCTATTCAAAATGAACATTGTTGGCACAAAGTAGGTCTGGGACCAGCTGTGTAGTTAAGCAAAGTGGCTGTAGGCCCAACTTTCTTCCAATATCTTATTTTTATAACTCAGCAACAATTTTATAAACTATGGTATAAACTCTACTTGAAGGTTAATGTTTATTTTCACATAACTAAATTATTTCAACAATAATTTGAAAACTTAGGGCTTTAAAAATCGGTTGGGGCAATGGTCTGGGTCAAATCTATAAAACTGAAATCAGCATTGCTTAGTCAACTGTATCGAGACAAAATATCCAAAATTGTTTGTAATACTCCACAAGGGTAATGTCTGGACTCTCTCTTATTCATCTCATATTCAACGACTTTGAACATCATTTACGAAGAACTAAACAGGTGTATATGTTGGTGATACACATGTTACGATAGAATCTACAAAGGTAGACACGAGAGGAACAGAATTAAGTTTTCGAATGGATGAGGAAAGCAATCACAGACCAAAGAGAAAAAAGAAAAATATGATAATTGGACAAATTCGTAAGATCAATGAAACAGCTATAGAAAGGCCCTTATGTTAAATGATTCTGATTCTTAATTCGAATGAAAAATTTTATATCAGGAAAACATCCAGTTATAGACCAGACAGAAAAGGGCTAAAAACATCCAGATATAGACCCATTAATGGCAACAATCACCAGAGAGCTGTTATAGAGAATAAACTGCTTGTGTAATTAGGACATGGTCCCTAGATGAAAAATATATAATTTGAAACTTTCAAACTGAACAATGTTAACTACTCGAGCAATCAGAACACAAACCTTCCCATTTGCTCAGCTGTACTCATGAATCGATGTGAGAATATTGATAGCTACAACAACAAAAAGGATTATTTTCGAAAAAATAATGCCGAAAAGAATAACGATCTAGCGCTCCAATATTGCTTAATATTCAATAATCAAATTTCTCAAAATTACTATTACACATTACAAATTATAAAAGCTGCGAGAACAAACAGAAAGCTATAATTACAAAGTACAAGAACCGATCAGCTAGGACATTATCTACTTCAAAAAGTACGTGTTAATTAAAATGTTCAGAATCAGGTAGGAAAACATATTATGAAAAATTCCTCAATGATTTTATAGCTGTTTTTGAATCAGAAATATAACCTGGATTAGAGAATAGCGAAACTTGTCTTAACGTACTTGAATAGGGTCTAATTTTTCTCCAATGAGGTGCTGTCCCTTTCTTGACAGAATCTTTGGAAGAAAATATAATATAAATTAACAAATAAAAAAGACTAAGCAATATTCCACTGAAGTATGAGTAGACGTAGGAAAATTTCATAAAAGCTAACTGTGATTGATTTTTATTCCCTGGTAGTCAATCTGAAGATGTCACGAAATAGCAGAGACATTGCATACTGAAGCTTTTCGTTTTTGTATAAACCTCGAATAATAACCGAAAGAAAGAAGAAAATTAATCGAAAACAACGTGAGAGGAAGAAAGAGGTGTTTGATTGATGAAGGCCAATCAAAGCTTGCCATCTTCAAATCTTGCGACACCAACAACTTAAATTATACAATCTTTGAGCACTCTCTATAAATTAGGAGCTTCTTGTCAGATCAGCTAGGAATAGACAAAATTTTATAAATCTTAATATGTATCTAAAAATTTATAAATCTGAAAACAGTGCTCTAACAACAAGTACGAGATTCTGATGAGAAATGACAGGGGATTATAGTCTGCACATTTGAAGAATGAGAAACCTGGGCTCGAATGTCTCCAGTCTTTGTAACTGCAGCTTGACATCCAGGCTCCACCAGAATAGTGCTGTAAAACAATAAAAATGGTGGATATTTTTATGGATATACGTCAGTTTTATACACTTTTTGAACGTCAGATTGCAGTAAACGAAACTACTCAAAACACATCATGTAAATGAAGATTGATACGATAAAAATTCGACTTTCCTCTATAATTTCAAAAAAAATAGTCGAGAATGTAAAGTGAAAAAAGTTCACAGTACCTGTTCTTGTCAATAATAATGGCAGGTCCATTTATCATGTGACCAAATGTCAAGTCCTCCATAAGGTAAGCATTGGTGCTCAGGTAGCCCTCTTCAAAATAACATTTTGTAACCTGCAATACAAAAAATAAGACAATCCAATTTTACACTTATCTGAATGCTGAACAAAGCTCTAGTTTGACAATTATAGTGTTACAAATGATGGGGAAAGGAAGATCAGGGGCTCCAACGCAAGTTTGAAGTGGGGCGCCGAGGGTACATTAAAGACCAATGACAAAAGATTTTGCAAAAATGCTCCAATGTTTTGCAAAAATGTTGGGAGGTCATGTCCCAACACCCACCGGGCCCTCCGTCAGAGGCTTTGAAAATTCAGGGTGTTTACGGTCACTTCAAGGCAAATTATATTTACAAGGGAGTTTGGAAAGTTTGAAAGAGAGTTTTGGAAAATGTACCCAGTTCGGCTGACCTTTGTTGACAAATGGCTAAGAGCCTGCACGCATGACAATATCATCTTGTGAAGGTTACGTATTGCAACATAACTTGAAAAGTTTGAAAACAGCAGGAGAAGGCTCACCAAATAATGTAGCACCAAATTTGTAAAATAAACTTCCGCTAAAGTTCAGTTTCAAGCAAACATTAAAGACATACCTACTTAGGTAGTACTACTGTAAGATAGGATGACTCTATATATACAAACTGGTGACTTTTAATGGTAACTACTTCAAGTTAGTAAATACTAGAACAATTAGGTCTCAACGAGGTTAAAAGAATCTGTCATTTTGACTTTATAAAGGAATTTTTATTGAATAACCAAATAAGTCTTTAGTACCGCAAAATTTGAAAATAGCACGTAAGAGCGGGAACATAGCAAATCATACTTATAGCATCATAGTATCATAGCATCATAGGATAATCGGATCAGAGTATCATAGTATCATAATTATAGTATCATAGTATCATAGAATCATAGTATCATAGGATCGGAGTCTCGGAGTATCATAGTATCAATGCATCATAGTATCATAGTATCATAGTATCAAAGTATTATAGTATCATAGTATCATAGTAGAGTATCATAGGATCGGAGTATCATAGGATCGGAGTTTTATAGGATCATAGGATCATAGTATCATAGTATCAAAGTATCAAAGTATCAAAGTATTATAGTATCATAGTATCATAGTATCAGAGTATCACAGTATCAAAGGATCAGAGTATCATGGTATCAGTATACTATCGTAATATGATTTGATATGTCTCTGCTCTCCCGTGGTATTTCTTTTGCACAGTTTAGCAATTTTGAGCCAATATCTTAATAAAAAATCCTATGTAATATATACAACGGACTCTAATTTAGTTATCAAGCGCCTATGGGCCTTTGGGATATACGGCGCTATAAAAATGACAATATAGTATCATCATTACTGTTATTAAAAATATGTCCCCTATGAATGCCCGATTAAAAGACAACGGCTATCTAATGAAACATAGCACCTAAAATTGACTCTTAACGGGTTGTTTTGTCTTCTTTTAAATACAATAACGATTGTATATCGTTTTCCCCTGCAGATCAACTGTTTGAGTTTCAGTTCAATTGTCCTAACGGTTAATCCCTAATGTTCTATAGCACGTATTATTTTCAAATTATCCTTATTTTTATGGAAGGCAGGGTGCTTCTTTAGAAAGATAAAAAGCACTCCATAAAATTCAAGAATCATCTTGAAAACGGCAGACGTGTCGTATTTATGATGGTTTTACGACTATAACGAAGAAAAAATACGGATTAAGCATCCAGACCCGAATAATTTTGGAACCGATATTGTGTAGGTCTCGTGTTTGTCAAGCGGTTATCACCTAACAAAAGACTTACTGTTTCTACTCTGGGAGGTGAAGTGGCTTCTGGAACATTCTTCTCGATCTGAATATTTGATCGTCCCGTGGCTCTCACCCTAATATCATCGACTATGATTGGCCGGTCAGGAATAACAAAGCCGAATTCCATTTGATATCTAGAAAGAGAGCGAAAATTAAACAACAAGGGAAGATGCAAGGAATGAAGATGGAGTCAAAATATAACAGGATATCCGCTAGCAAGCACGAAGCAATTATAAATTAAAACCAGTTGCGAACCTTTAATCATCTACGAGATAAGATGATTTATGTTTACGAGAGAAAACATGAACGAGATAAGTGGGGGAGGCGGAGGGGGGGGGGCTGAAAGGGCTAAGCTGCCTTTAATAATTTCCATCGCGTATTTAAAACCATACAAAAAATCGCCTTGATCTTGGTTTCAGCATGTTTGCCCCACCCTCGCTCAAAAAGTTTTTTGCCCCCTCAATCCGTTATATGCTTCGCTTTTATTGAAAAAAAGACAAAATTTTCTAAGCGTAATTCTGCCCGCATTTCAAACATCTTTAAAATGTAGAAGAGGCCTTGTTGCAAACTATAAGTTTAGATACAATGTTTATGAGTTGTACACATATAAAGATATTGAATATCATTGTATTTTCTGGTTTATACAGGATATACACTTTTTAGAAATGTAGCAGAGAATGGAGGGAAACCAATAAGAAAAAGCCATCGTTCTTTGAATGTTGTGTGGAATCAAATTTTACATTTTCAAAGCGGTATCAAATGCATGTTGCTTTGTCGCCTTTGGCGGTATTTCGTTCCAAATGCAAGAATAAATCATAAATTTCTATAAAATTGTATTGAAATCAATCCTACATTGATCATGAATCGATCGATCATGAAAGTTAACGCTACGTAGGTATAAGAAGCTTGAAAAGTAAACAACACTCGTTTTGAAGTAGCAAAAGTAAAACTTAACATCAAAGTTCAAAATAAGAGTATTTATCTTCTTTCTCATTCATATAAGTTGACCAAGTTAAGCTAGATTTTTTACGAACCTTTTCAGGAAGGAAGTTTTAAAGTCACCGTGTTTACCACATTCTTCTTTCTGCAAATCGAATGCATAATCAATCTAATGAATGCAATTTAATGTAAACAGTTTGAAAAAAAAACATCAATCAAGCTAGAAAAAGAAACTTATAAGAAACTGTTGGGAAAAACATGATTCAGCGCCGTAGCCATTTGTTCTTGAAGAGGGGGTGGGGGCGGGGTTTTGGGTACTCTGGCCTTTACAAAATTTAAAAACCTTTTATTTTAATGAATAATATCTTTTGTTCCTATGGTTCTAAATTAAATAAGGTAACCCTCTAAACATTTTATCCAACCTACGTTGCTGTACTTTTTAAAGGCTCGCTAAATCGTTTTTAAGAGCTCGCTTAATCAAAATCTGTCATAATTCGGTTTTTATTTAAAAAAGTGTAGAGCAATGAACGTTGTGACTTGTGTTGTAGAATGCAACCTTGGTTTCAATTTTATGTCTTAGTATAAAAGGAAGTTACTTAGCATTCATGAACAACAAATATAACAGAAGTCTCATTTACCTTGATTTCAGATGCAGAACACATCAAAGCACAGTCAGTTTTTTCATATCTCATATGCAAAAATGGTTCACAAGATATCAGAGCGCTAGAATAAACGAATATTTCATATTTATTGTAAAATAATTATCGTAGCAAGGAGAACACACGGTCTTGCAAAATTTTCCATTTTCAGAATGAACTCAGAAAGTATAAATGCTATAAAAAGGAGCAGGCTGTCACATTTAGAAGAAGTTTTTAATATCACAAACTCGATTTAAGTGTCACTGAAATACTATTGCCATAAACTTCTCTATCGGACTTGAAGTTGTAACTAGGGGGAGGGGTAGGGTGGGGTGGGGGGGGGGTGGTTGATCATTGCTGAATCGATTGCCACAATTAATTTTAAACTTTGCTGGAGAGAAATGCTTGTTTATGTGGGGGTTTTACCCCGTAGTCTGGTGAAAAAAGGCATGGGGCGAGTGAATTTTTTTTATTTATATGATCATAACAACATTGGAAAACCCAGTGTTGTTGTAGTATTAGAGCAGAACGTAGCGGGCTTTGAAAGAAAATAACATGTCTGAGACGGAGAATCCACAGGCATTTACGCAACTCGAAACTTTGGAGTTCAAAATAGCACTGTGATAGAAACAATATGCAGGAAAAAATTACACCATTCGATTCAGTAGCTTTTATTGATCTTTCTCTTTGGAATCAACACATTGTCAAAATTTTTACAATGGCGGTGTAAGGCCTCCTTTGAATTAGCCCCAATCTAAAAACGTCTTTCAAGATAATACGTCCCCGGTGGAGAGAGCTAGTCCTAGGACTGTATATGATTGACTTAACAACTATAAAACATGGATGGCGAAAAGTATATTAAAACGATGTCAGGGGCGGACACTTGGTCAAATATTGAGGGGGGCAAACCTATTGTTTTAATAAGATGAAGTCACATTTCCCATTGTTTTAGCATAGAAATACCATTGTCCTCTAAAGTATTAGGGGGTGGTCGCCCCCCCTCGCCCCCTCGCCCCCCAGGTGTCTGCCACTGGGCTACGTGTCCTTTGGCTACGTGTGAATAGTATATCAAAATGCAGTGATTGCTGAAATGGCACCAACACAGAGATAAATCAGTTTCTAATGATAAAAATCGACAGGCTTTAAGCCCCAAGAAGGACAGGCATCAGGCTTAAAGTTAAAAATCAACTCTAAGGTTATGTAATTAATTATCAAAGTTAAGCCATAAAGTTATGAAACAGAATGACATGTAATTAAAATGATCGTAGAGCTCTTTGATTAAAGTCTTCTTTAGATAATGGATATTGACAAATTGCGAGAATACCTGGAAAATCCCTGTCTTGTCAATTCTGCGTTGCATTGCTCAATAAGTGCATCAATTCTGGCATCAATGCGGTCGAATGCATCTGTTTAGAGTAGAGAAGCATAAAGTTAGCTGTGGATAAGGCATCAGTAAAAAAGTTTTAACTTGATTAAAGGTAGAGATTTAAAAAAGCTTCAGCATCGCAAGGTAGGACACCACAGGCTTGAATGGAACTGTGGAGTAAGGTGTTATGTAAATTTATTTCTCAAAATGCCCCCAGTTCTAAACGCCTTTCACGAAATAAGGATGATGGATCCATCATTTGAACTAATAAAAAACTAGGCAATCATTATTTGATAGTATGACCTGGATTCCAAACAGAAAAAGAGCAACATTTATGAAGAAATATCGAAATAAATATCCATGGAATTATATAATTAGGTTGCTATAAAAAACTGCTTATGATAAATTCTAGTAGCCTTTCTTTTAAAATTAAGAAGCTCTTCCAGACGATATCAGTGGCCATCAAGGGTAAAAACAACTTTTCTGTAAATTCCTTTTTCTGTAATTTCCCCGGAAAAGAAAACTGGAAAAATGAAAAGCAACATAAAATGATGAAGAATAAAAAGCGTGGGTTACAACAGAGCATCGTGCAGATTACACTCGAACAATATCGGTGCCAACATTACTACCCTAAATACGTTTTGTCGGGCATTTCTTCAAAAGGGTAATACCATATTGACGAAAGCAGTCAATATCCAATAATAAGAAGGCAAATGAACAATGAGTTGAGAATATCAGTGAGAATAATAATTCACCTTTGTTGTATGTGTCTGCGGAAGGCTCTTGGGCTTCGTGTACAACGTCAGCAAGAGCTATGCCATATGCCGACAAAATACCCGAATACCTACAGAGTAAACCGAATATCTGTCAGATTAAATACACGTCTTAATAACAAAGTGTTGATTTCTGATATTTGGTACAGTCAAAACAAAAGGAAATAAATCAGAACTAGCAAATCATATTTATAAAGCTATTGCTAACTTAACGAGAGTGAGTTGAAAGTAAAAGCAGCTCAAAGTGACATAACAAAAATGTCAGACCAGAACAAATCAACTTAAAACGCAAACCTAAACGCAAACTTAAACGCAAACTTAAACGCAAACTTAAAACGCAAACTCAAACGCAAACTTAAACGCAAACTCAAACGCAAACGATCGACAAGATGCCCATTATCCATTTAGAACCCATCTTCAACCAGCGTTGTCAGAAAGAAGGCCGTACGGGTAACCAACTCAAGCCAAAGTGCGCAGAAAGAGCCCAAATCAAACAATTTCCTAAAACGCCGCCCAAGCTTAGTATATATTTTCACGCATGCGCCTTTGAAATAACTTTCAAACCTCAGACAAGAAAATTGAGAAACTTTCTCATTAACAAATTCCTTTGATAAACGTTAAGTTTGGTGATACAGCATGACATTTGGGAGTGCACTGTGTAGCGTTGTTCTTACAGTTAAAAATTTGTTTGTTACTTAGGGTGTGTTAGCTTATACAAACAAAGGAATGTTCTCAAAATTTCCGCTGAAAATGGCCAAAAAAGCCAAGCAGGCAAAAGCAAATGTTCCAAGCAGCTTTGATAAAGGCCGAAATTCTAAAATCTGGCCAGAAAAGGCATATTTGGCAAGCCTGTCCCCAACGACTTTATACAAACACACAAAAGGTGCAAAAAGGAATGTTTTTAACCATTAGAGCTAACATAAATCTAGAGAATACTTGCTTATGAATAAATATCTCTGACATCCCTAATGAAGCTGCGATGGAGCAAGCATGTTGTCCGCCAGCACCGCCAAAACAGGACAGGATGTGCTTCGCAGTGTCGTATCCCTTTGCCTGCGTAAGTGCCCGAATGGGCCTACACATGGCCTCGTTAGCTACTCTTATGAAACCAATTGCAACTTCTTCGATCGATAATGGCATTTGATCGTTCTGTGCGGCTCTGAAATCGTTTATCTACGGAAATAAAATGAATTTTAAGTTTTATGACAATTAATATTTATAATGATAGTAGCGCAATCCAGAGATGCCGGAGAAGGGGGCGCGGGGGGTCAACCCCCCTGTTGCCTGTTGAAAAGAGAAGCAAGAGGGGCAAGAGTGGCCTTTTCATTAAAGTGCCCCTGAAACTGGCCAGTTGTAATAATCAGAAAAATTCATATAAACTTCTGATTGTAGTTCTTAATTCGTGACGACAATTCTCAAAACTTGTAAGATAATTCCTTACGCCACAAATAAGCCAATTTTCAAGATACCTACAGACACCCGAAATAAAATGGCAGTTATTAGAAAGAATTAAAAGAGGTTAGGAATTATCTTTTAAATGCATTTTTACTCAAGCCTGCCCCCCTCCTTGCCCCTTGGACGTTCCGGCGTCCCTGGTGCTAGCTCCTACTGCGTTCTACTGTAGGCTTGCTTGGCGAAAACGCTAAGGATCAGGCATTTTGGCTGCTGGATTTGCGGTTACTTCCACAAAGCTGATAACTGAGTTGAGGGTGTGGCCAACAAATGCAAGTGACAGTCTCCCAACTTAATTTTGATAAATCAAATACTAAAAAATATTTAGAAATGCCTAAGGTATGACGAGTGATAATATAGTATTAAAAGACCAAGAAAATACCAAGCAAGAAATCTGCAGTCTACCTGTGAAACACTGGGCAACAATATCCCTCCGCCTGTACCTGAATTTACTTATGAACTAACAAGAGAATGCTGACGATCCCAAAACGTTTGAAACGCTTTAAAAAAAATCAAACATGTTTATCAAACCCGTTACCTAATGAAAAAAAACAAAAAGTCAATAATAACAACGCTTCAGGCTGGGTACATTTCTCTCTGTACCTATCGATAATTAGACAGTTCCAATAAAAAAACAATTATTGTGAATATTTTCATTTATCCCCTTAGCAGTGCTTACATAAAAATCGATATTTCATATAAGTCAGTCCATTTCTAATACCTCTGAATTTCTAACTCTCCCACTCTTACTCATAGCGAAATGCAAGTCCAACAGGCTTCAAATACTTTTCAATTGCTTCATCCATTCGCTTGTTCATCTCTTCAGTGAAGTAATTCTTCCAATCTCCTACCTCCCCTTTCCGAATAAAGCTCCCTTCTTTCTTCAATATCTTTCCATCTTGGAGTCCTTCTAAATTCACAGACTTATTTTGTTTCATTTTTTTAAAGCTCAAGTGATCAACCAAAATCCCAACTTGCTCTTCTGTGATTTCCTTCCCTAAAAATTTTGCCAACTTCCTGATATTGCCAGCCAAATCAGCTTTTAGTTCTTCATAGAATAATATGCAAACATTTGGATGGTTTCTTTGCTTCCATAACTGTTGGGTGTGTTCAAAATATGACGTGTAAAGCAACAGACCATCCATGAATAGATCAAAGAAGGTTGCAAAATCACCGTTGTAATCATAAACGTTAAATAACTTTTCAAAGTGGAAAAATGAGACGACAGTGTCTTTTGGGTTTCTCAAACACATCACAACCCTGCTTTTGTCAAGTAAGTCGTCGGGAAAATGGCAAAATGGAAGGTGAGATTTCAAGACTCTTGGTGAATCCATGGTCGCTACCGTTTCGAGGAGACCTTCAAAGCGGGAACGAGCCTCGTCTAAAAAGTCAACAACAACTGGTACTTCTAAAAATGGGGTTCTTTCCAGCGATGAAATGGATTTGGCTTTGTCTATGTCACAGTTGTTCTGTAGGCACCAGACGAGCTCTTGTACCCAGGTTGTGCCACTTTTGAGAAAGCCAAAAACGTAAACATCTTCCGGGCGCACTTCCCAATTCTTATATCGATCCTTGAATTTCTCATAGGCCTTTGGCAAAATGCAGTTTCCAGGCATTGCTTTAATGTACCTCCGTCCATGTTTAACGAATGGAGTAGGGTAAGCCTCCTTCAACCGCTCAATTTCACTGTCAGATAGTGGCACAAGCTGAACGGTCGCCATTCTGAGAGAAATTCTCCAGGTTAAGACCCTTAAGTAGTGAATACAACAAGGACCCTGAACCTATTTCTATTCTGTGCCTGAACTATGAGAAGTGCCACTACTTCCGCACAGCTTGGCAAAAACTGCTAGGGCTCTCACTATGGCGTTCGTTTGATTGATGACATTTCCACTGAATGAAGATATCAATAAAATTAAACAAAAAAGTATTCACTTACAACGCTATTCGATGGATAAGGGGAAAAACTCACATTGATGAACACTTATCAGATCATAAAATTGACTCTTTGATGAGGATAAGTAAACAAAATAAACAAACAACAAATGTTGCTAAGTTTGCAAAAGAAACAGTAAGAGAACGCAAACAATTAGAAAATCCTTTGGAAAAATGAATCGAAACTCCATTGCTAGGCATAGATTTTTACTCATTGCTTTTGATTGTAAACTATTAATTTTTGCATTAAAACAATTTAATCAATCAAACATAAAAACAATTTAATTTAAAGCGCCCAATTTAAAACGCGGATTAAAAAATGGAAAGGAGATTAATGTAGCTTTATTTTTTGTAAATGCTACAGAGCTCATTTCCTTGACAAGAAGATAAAGAAAAGAAACAAAGTCTTAATTAATGTGACATTACTAATTTTGATTTACTTTTTTTACGTAGGCCTAAATTAGATTAACTGTATCTTCTTTTAAGCCTACTGTAAACAAATTGATTATACAGTTCTAACTTATTTCAGACTTGTAATTAAACGAATAGTGAACCTTGATAAAACCGATTATTGTGAAAGTTTTCATTCATCCCCTTAGCAGTACATTCACAAAACTCAATATTTCACTTTAGTCAGTCAAATCGCTTCATTATAAACAAATTCCAACTCCACTGAATTTCTAACTCTCCTATTCTTACTCATAGCGAAATTCAAGTCCAACAGGCTTCAGATACTTTTCAATTGCTTCATCCATTCGCTTGTTCATCTCTTCAGTAAAGTAATTCTTCCAATCTCCTACCTCACCTTTTCGAATAAAGCTCCCTTCTTTCTTCAACATCTTTCCATTTTGAAAAGCTTCTAAATTCACAGATTTGTTTTGTTTCATGTTCTTAAAGCTCAAGTGATCAACCAAAATCCCAACTTGCTCTTCTGTGATTTCCTTCCCCAGAAATTTTGCCACCTTTCTGATATTGCCAGCCAAATCAGCTTTTAGTTCTTCAAAAAACAATATGCAAACATTTGGATGGTTTCTTTGCTTCCATAATTGTTGGATGTGTTCAAAATATGACGTGTAAAGCAACAGACCATCCATGAATAGATTGAAGTAGGTTTCAAAATCTCCATTGTAATCAAAAACGCCAATTAACTTTTCATGGTGGTAATACGAGACCAACGTGTCTTTCGGATTTCTAAAACATATCATAACCCTGCTTTTGTCGACCAAGTCATCGGGGAAATGGCAAAACGGAAGGTGAGATTTAAAGACTCTCGGCGAGTCCATGGTCGCTACCATTTCGAGGAAAACATCAAGTTGAGGACGAATCTCATCTAGAAAGTATGCAATAACTGGTGTTTCCAAAAAAGGGACTCTTTTCTGCCCCGAAACTGTTTTGGCCTTGTCTATGTCACAGTTGTTCTGTAGGCACCAGACGAGCTCTTGTACCCAGGTTGTGCCAGTTTTTAGAAAGCCAAAAACATAAACGTCTTCTGAGCGCGCTTCCCAATTCTTATATCGATCCTTGAATTTCTCATAGGCCTTTGGCAAAATGCAGTTTCCAGGCATTGCTTTAATGTACCTCCGTCCATATTTAACGAATGGAGTTGGGTAAACCTGCTTCAACCGCTCAGTGTCACTGTCAGATAGTGGCACAAGCTGAACGGTCGCCATTCTGAGAGAAATTCTCCAGGTTAAGACCTGTAAGTAGTGAATACAACAAGGACCCTGAACTGAGAAGTGCCACTACTTCCGCACAGCTTGGCAAAAACTGCTAGGGCTCTCACTATGGCGTTCGTGTAAACGGGGTCTGAGTCACGGTAAATAGGCCTTCTCTATAGGGGGTCATTTAGTTTCGGCGTGATCGCTGCTGTTTCATGTGATATTTGCATCCGTTGTTGACAACTTGCTATTGATGAAAATTGTTTTGTCAATCAGTACAAGGTGAGTTCATGTGACCAGTTCCCGGTCAACCAATAGCATTGCAGTCATGAAAATCATGACTCAATACCTTTGATCCAATACCAATAGTAAAAATACCACACGTGCCTTGATTACATGTTTGACTTGATTACATGTTGTCCTGTCAACAATAGTTTTTCCAATCCGCTAATTTCCCCATGTGGTTAAGGTACGACAACATAGGCACTATTCGCACTGCATCTAGAAACCTGACAATGCTAATCCCTTATTGTTCTATCTTCAAAGGCGGCAAGGGTTTGTCAGGAAGTAGTTTAATTGGTAGAGTGCGAACAGCAAAATCTGAAATCTGACAAATTGTAACGTTTCGACTAATTGGTCAAAGGCTCCGTCGTAGAGCTCTGGAGCATCAAAATCTCATGAAAATCTATGATAACCAGCGAGTGACTCGACGGACATGCCAGAATTATGTTAACACCAATAAAAAAGCCCAGGGTGCTATTTGAATGCCTGCCAAAAGTACTTGGAACACCAAACAATTTGCGTTGCATTTCATATCTTTTATTCCTTCCCCGAAAAAATTACTACTTCCGCCTCCTTCCCCCCTAAAACAATGTTGTTAATTTATAGAAATATCATATAAAATCCTAACCGGTTTGATAGTAAACAAACATTGTTCTGTGGAGGAGAGGGGGATGATTGATTTTGAGCTTGGAAATTGACGTCAGTGTTCCAAGACTATTTTGTTGGGGAGACGAGCGAGCGAAAGTCTTCAAATGAGTGAGGCAACCCTCCGTCCTGGATTCAGAGAGCATGCGTAATAATAACTTCGTTCTGTGCGCATGCTCTTTGACTCCATGACGGAGGGTTGCCTCACTTTTTAAAAAACTTTCTCTTGCTCATCTCCCCAACAATATTGTAGTGCACTCTCATTCTGGAAGCAGAACGCGACACAAGATACGTTCTTCAAGCTTCCACAGTACCCACTCCTCGCTTTTTCTCTCTTTCTTTTCTTGGCTAATTTTTCATTTCCAATTTCTGCTTTCCAGCTTTTCTCCGGAGAACGTTTATTAATCCAATTAAGACGCCTTACATCGATGATTCACTTTTGCATCAGTGTCCCTTTTTTGTAGAGTTTCCCTTCTCAGGCAAAATTTTTCGAAAACCGCTTTTTCAGCATACATATTCAAAACATTGAATGAGATGAAGGCGGCAATGCAGCAACTCATTTAGACTGCTGGACTTGCAGTATCTTCCACATACCAGATGACTGAGTTGAGGGCGTGGCAAGGGCTGTAGAAAACTCTTCGAAGGGGGGCTGCAACCATCTACTTTTCTCTGGGTAATTCTAAAAAACATGACTAATTTCTGCAAGGATCAAATCTTTGATTGAACCGATGGTACTTTTTGACATTTGCATTCATGTGTTACCTCAATACCCCCCTTGATAACTGAAAACCCAGTTGTGGATCGAAATAGACCAATTAGAAACGCGAGCACACGACTCTTGAGGTTGACCAATCAGTGCCACTTGCCTATTCCAAGAAGGCTATATGGCCTCCCCTCCCTACATTTTTTTGGCTCTACACTACTGGATGTGGCCTACAAGCGCAAGTGACAGTCTTCTAACTGAAGGGTCATTCTGATGGATCGAATGCTAAAAATATTTATAAATGCCTTAAATATGACGAGCAATGATATACTATTAAAAAGGCAAAATACCAAGCAAGAAGCACTGGACAACCACTCTGCTATCTGCTATCTGTGAAGCACTGGACAATCATTTCTCTCCGCGATACCCGAATTTACATAAAAACTAACAAGAGACACGAATTTTGAAAAATTTAGGCTGACTTATCAAGTTTTCGAATACCTTAAATCCTCGAATAAGCCCCCCCCCCACACTCGAATAAGCCCCCTCCCCCTCGAATAAGCCTCCACCTAAAAATCATTATTGCAAATAAGCCCCCCTCGAATAAGGCTTATTTCATTGAGAAAATTTTGTCGTTTCTATGTCGACCTTTGAGGAAAATACCAAACATTGAAATACCCCCCTTCTAATAAGCCCCCCCCTCGAATAAGCCCCCACTCAAATTCATTTTGCTTCTCGTGAGAAGCTATCACAGAGAAAACAACTTTGGACATTCAGACGCATCGAACCCAAAGATACTTTGAGCATGACCCTCCCCCACCTCCTTTTTAGCAGAGCAAAAGAAGGGAAAATCGGGAAAAGAAGAAAGCAATTTTGTTTACAATTTTGTAAATTTTCGTGATTAAAATTCCATGAGGAATGGAAAAAACAAACCTGCTAGATCAACAAGAACTGCAGTATTACAAATTAATTTTGAACATTAAAAAGTCCACTCCAAATTATATGGTATATGGCGAATTGGGGAGATGACCAGTATCCATAACGATACAATTAAGAATGGTTGGTTTTTGGGCCAACATAGTTAGAGGTGAAGAAAGCAAACTAACAAATATCTTGTATAGTATTTTAGTCAGAAACTAAAATATCAAATGGTTTACGAGTGTGAAATATATTCTTGATAGCTCAGGGCTGTCCTTTATTTGGAACATGCATGTGTTTAATAGCCCTGAAAGTTTATTCATTCAACAATGAAATTCTGATATGGAAAAATCACACAAAATGTTTAAACGTATAAAATCATGTTTTAAAAGTGAGAATTACTTTAATGTATTACCAACCAATTTATCACAATATCTTTGTTGGTTCAGAACTTTGAATCATAGGCTACCGGTAGAAACTGGGCGATGGAAAAACATTGATTATAATCACCGAAAATGTGATTTGTGTTCCTCAAACGAAATTGGAGACGAGGATCGTGCAATATTTCAATGCCATGCTTTGAAAGATTGAATAATTCAGTACATACCTGATTATTTTACCCGTTATCAAATAAATCATAAATTTTATTCTTTGATGAGGATAAGTAAACAAAATAAACTAACAACAATGTTGCCAAGCTTGAATCGAAACTCCATTGCTAGACATAGATTTTCACACATTGCTTTTCGCATGATGATATAAAAAGCTAGAATTTAAGTGTAGAAGTAAAAACATTGAGATTAACAGTGAAGTTAAATATTTTGCTAATTGTTTTTTTATAATAATGGGCGTTTTGTAAAAGCAATAAAATCAATTAAAACTCAGGCAAACAAGGCAATGCGATATTCGATATCTGGAGCAAAAGCGGTTAGTATGCCATAAGATTTGCAGTTGAAAACGCTAGATTCATTGTACCCTGGGTACAAGAGCCACAGAAAACAAAGGGGAAAAGTATTGTAGATCGCTGCAGCAAAGTATGAATGAATGTTTCCCTCGCCCAAATTGCGAACTGTATTTCTGAGACAAAGTTATGCACACCCAGGCACCCAGAGTAGATTCGTTCTTGTTATATTTTTGTTATAAGTTATAGATCAGAGGTACAGGGATATCAAAATTTAAACATTATAGACAATTTAGAATTACAATGATAAAAACAAATGATAAACATTCAAAAATCGAAACCGAGTTATAAAGTGCTACCGGTTGTAAGATTTGGAGGAAAAGGCGGGACGAGAAAGGGAAAATTGGGGGTCCAAAACATATTCAACGCTAGGGAATGCCCCTTTTCAAAGAGATTTTTGCCATTCTGAAGGGGGGTGGGATGGTTCGTTCCTACAGCAATGGACTAGTTAAATGCAGGCGTCAAATAAAGGAAAACTATGCTCCGACATAAAGAAAAAGTTTGAAATGGAAAAATACTTATGTGCGTTACCTTAAAAACTATCGCAATTTCTATTCTGGCTAGGGCTGCAGACTACAAACTACCAGTGGAAACCAGTAGATGAAATAAAATTGATTACAATTTCCGTAAATGCAACATGTGCACCTCGAATGAGATGAGAGGCGAGTATCACGCAATATTAAAATGCCTTAACTTAAAACACATAAAATATAAATATATACTGTAAAAAAGTAACTCAATAGTCAAAGACTAGAGCCCAGACTCCTCTATTGCTGTATATAGTATTGCTGTGATGGCCTAAGCACACATGTCTTTTTTTCTATTCATTCTGAAACAGTCTCATAACCTAATTTATACTCTACTTGCATATGGTGCTACAACTTGATGATCATCAGTGCCTTGAGACTGCTGTGCAAATATTCCTGATACTACTAGAGGGATGGCATCCACAGTCAGTATAGGAATAATAAAATAATTAAACGAATAATAAAAAATATCATGATAAAACCGATTATTTTGAAAATTTTCTTTTTCCTCTTAGCAGTACATACACAAAACTCAAAATTTCATAAAAGTCAGCAACATCGCTTCATTATAAACAAATTCCAACTCCACTGAATTTCTAACTCTCCCATTCTTACTCATAGCGAAATTCAAGTCCAACAGGCTTCAGATACTTTTCAATTGCTTCATCCATTCGCTTGTTCATCTCTTCGGTGAAATAATTCTTCCAGTCTCCTACCTCACCTTTTCGAAAGAAGCTCCCTTTTTTCTTCATGATCTTTCCATCTTGAAAAGCTTCTAAATTCACAGAATTGTTCTCTTTCATTTTCTTAAAGCTTAAGTGATCAACCAAAATCCCAACTTGCTCTTCTGTGATTTCCTTCCCCAGAAATTTTGCCACCTTTCTGATATTGCCAGCCAAATCAGCTTTTAGTTCTTCATAAAACAATATGCAAACATTTGGATGGTTTCTTTGCTTCCATAATTGTTGGATATGTTCAAAATATGACGTGAAAAGCAACAGACCATCCATGAATAGATTGAAGTAGGTTTCAAAATCTCCACTGTAATCAAACGACAGATGTAGCTTTTCATGGTGGTAATACGAGACCAACGTGTCTTTCGGATTTCTAAAACATATCACAACCCTGCTTTTGTCGAGTAAGTCGTCGGGAAAATGGCAAAATGGAAGGTGAGATTTCAAGACTCTCGGTGAATCCATTTTTTCTACCATTTCGTGGAGACCTTCAAAGAGGGAACGAGCCTCATCTAAAAAGTCAACAACAACTGGTACTTCTAAAAATGGGACTCTTTCCAGCGATGAAATGGCTTTGGCCTTGTCTATGTCACAGTTGTTCTGTAGGCACCAGACGAGCTCTTGTACCCAGGTTGTGCCATTTTTAGGAAAGCCAAAAACATAAACATCTTCTGAGCGAACGTACCAATTTCTAAACCGATCCTTGAATTTCTCAAAGGCTTTAGGCAAAATGCAGTTTCCAGGTACTGCTCTAATATACCTTTGTCCATGATTAACGAATTGAGTTGGATAAACCTTCTTCAATCGCTCAGTTTCACTGTCAGATAGTGGCACAAGCTGAACGGTCGCCATTCTGATTTAACTATTCCTGGTAAAACGTAGGAGAAATAACGGCAAGCCCTTCGGCAGTTTCTTTTACGGCCTTCTACTTACTGCATTTGTATGTAGTATGCGTGACTGACGAGACAAAATGGCGATGACATTCAGGAAAGGGGCTGGACTCACTCCCACTTCAAAAGGCTATCTTGAAAACATGACCTTCGGCAGTTTCTTCTTCGGCTTCTACTTGCGGCTTCTATTTGCGGTTTGGGTGACTGCCGAGGCAAAATGGCGATGACATCCAGGACAGTCGCTGGACACTGGATGATATGATAACGACGTGAAAGAGCTGATACCCCATGGGTATTTACGAGCATGCTGCGTTTCCAAAATGTCCTTGCGATGTTGGAATGCTGACTATGTATAAAAGAAATGTAGCCTTTGCGTGGTAGTTCCTTCCTGACAGTGGCGGAAATTCAAGCTTTCATTTGGGGGGGGGGGGTTGGGGGGGCCAGGCCTACGATTTTCCGACAAGATAACATCACGAACCATGTATAATTTCAAAGAAACTGCACATTTTGATAAAAATAGTTGATTTTTTGACGGGACACTTTCTGACCACGCCATAATTAAATAGCAAGAAGAACAATCCATTTTTTATTTTTGATGTCAAGATTGATATCTCATCTAAGACAATTGATGATACAAGAGGTAGACCGATAACACTTTTGACAAGTCGTACGTTCATTTTATGCATTTTATCTTGTTTTCGTCAGTGAGAAATACGTTTGAAAATAACTTTAGTTCAGAAGTGTTGTGTAAGTTTGCTGTTACTGCGTATGTTTATGTAACTTCGCATATCTGTTTTATAACTAACTAGAGGATAGTTTACCATAATGCGTTCACAGTTCTTTTATATTATGCCGTGGGAAATTTAGCGTGTATTATATTTACTTAATTATTTCTTTTTGATTGTAGTGATTTTGATCGATGAAATGTTATGTTATTTGAAATTAAGTTATCTCCTTGAAAGTTGGAATCTGTACCGCAGAACCAGTAAATATATTGTGCAAGAAGAATCCGATAGAAATTTTGGCTGATCTTTACGGAATGAAATTAGATACACAATTCACAAGCAGTTTTTTTTATTTTGGTCATATATTATTTGATTGATTATTTAGTACTGGCTAATATTTTATCAGCTATGCTATGTTCAAATTTTGCAAAAAGGGCACAGAGAGGTTATAAAGGCCCCTGGGGCAAAAATTGAAACGTGGATAACCTGCGAGCGAAGCGAGCAGAAAATTTGGCAATTACGCCCCTTAGATTACGCCCCTTAAAATTCCTTTTCAGAACGATTTCTTGGAGTAATTTCGACACGTTAAACGGTTGTCAATTATCCGACGAAAGCCCGAATTTTCCGACGACGTCGCTGATTGGGGGGGGGGCGAGCCCCCCAAACCCCCATAATTTCCGCCACTGCTTCCTGAGATGAACAGGCGAATGGATGAGGCAATTGAAAAGTATTTGAAACCTGTTGGACTTGAAGTTCGCCTTGACTAAGAGTGGGAGAGTTAGAAATTCGGTTGAGTTGGAAATTAGTTATAATGAAGCGATGTTGCTGACTTTTATGAATTTTGAGTTTTGTATATGTACGGCTAGGAGAAAAAATGAAAATTTTCAAAATAAGCGGTTTTATCGCGATATTTTTTATTATTCATTTAATTACAAGTGTGAAATTAGTTAGACACTGTATAATATAGATATAATAATCAATTTATCTACAGTAGGCTTAAAAGATATAGCTGTATACAGTTTACCTTATTTGGTCTGATGAAGCCCTGTATGTCGGAGCAAAATATTATTATTCGTTTAATTTAATTTATTTTAAAAATTTATCTTATAACATTGGATTTTCGTCGCAGTTTTGCTTTGTTCCTGAATTTCATCCTCGTATTTACCTAATTTAGGCCTACTTATGAAAAGTAAATCAAAATTAGTAATTACAGGTACAAATAAATTAGTGAATAGAAAATTAAAAGCGATTTATAACAAAAGAGAATTTAACATTTTGCCATTTTCACACCAAGACCTTTTTCTTTTCTTTTTCTTCTGGTCAAGGAGCCCTGTAGCATCTGCATAAATTACATCTACATTCATTTCAGGGTTGCCAACTGGCTACCCTTGGTACCAGACTCACTATATATAAAATAAAATGGAGATTATTTTATATAGTGAGTCTGGTACCCAGGGTACCAACTGGCCTACTTGTGCAGACCTGTCAACCTTAAATTTTCAAATCCTGGAGATTTTAGATTTTTCCTAAAGAAAAACAGGGAGATTTGGTCAAAAACATGGAGATCACAGTAACTTGTTAAGGGAATAAATTTACCTGATAAATTAAGGATTAAATTAATGTTTTCTCGGCAAACAGTTTACGACAAAACTGATCATTAGAAGTATCTTCATAATAACTTTTAGTGCTTTTTTCTTAATCAGTAAGCACTAACAAAAAATTGTTGTCATGTGGAAGTCTATGTGGCCATTATATTTTAATTTTATCTCTGCAAAAAGAAAACATACACAATGGACTTGTCTTCGAAGCATAAGATGCGCAGTTCAATCGTATATTCGGTGAAGAATCTTCCTGGACATTCTGCTAGACATCTTTGAAACAGGGAGAAAAATTTTAAAAACCGGGAGACCGGGAGACCGGGAGAAAGCAGTCAAAACCGGGAGGGTTGATAGGTCTGTGGAGGCCAAATTTGATAAATCTGGCCTTTTTTAAGAATATTTGGCTACGCAACTTTACCTTTGTCCTCCAGCCTCACTTTGGCTATATTTGGCCTCCAAAAGGAATGTTCGAAAATGAGATTAAAACCACATAAAATCATAAAATGGATGACCGTTATATGTCCATGAACCAGACAGACACTCGAGGTGGCATTGATTTTATCCAAATGGGCCAGTGCCTGAATTTCTCATGTAATAACGTGAAGTCGTTGCTATAGCTTATTTTTCAGCACTTGATTGACCAACCTTTTTGAGTGTTTCCTTTGAATATAATATATTGAAATAGAATTCGCAAACAATCTTTTGGTGGTACAAGATTTAAAACGTTTTCGATCTATATTCTAACGTTTTAAACTCTGAAGAGTGTCAGACAAGAAGCTCCAGTATGACCCAAAATGTTTGCTTTTTTCAAACCCATTTTGAAATAAAATTAACAATTTACACTCTTTTTTTATAAGAACCAGTAAATTTAAGTTCAGGCTAACTGTTCTTAATTTTTTCAAAAAATCTGAGGCCGGATTGTTCTTAATTTGTTATTAAATTAAGAGGGTGTAAGCAGTGCTATTGCTAGCTTTTTCGCTCTAGGGTGGTGTTCAGGCCTCATTTGCCAACAAAATGAGTGAGACAGCCTTAATTTGCTGGCAAATTTGAATATTCACCGAAAAAGCACCTACACATCGCTAAATATCCTCGATTTTGAGAAAAAACCTGTTGAAAATTGCATTTTGCAGAAGCTCAGCCTCAGCTTGTTCTTAATCTGTTCTTAACTTTTGACCAGTTTTGAGGCTCGTGTTCTTATAAAATTGTTCTTATAAAAAAAGAGTGTATTGGTAAGCAATAACTCGCATAATAGCACAGATTGATCTACACATTTTTAACAAGTTACATAAATAGTGAATAATGCTTTATTTTTCTAAAGTTTTTAATCTATGACGACCAAGTGGCAAAGTAGATATGACACTGCTGTTGGGGCCCAGACCTTCCTTGGTATCCTAAGACCCCACACAGTTATTGTTATCACATTCGGTAGTGTAATACGTGCCGAGATACACGGCGGCATGTAGAGTTTTAATTATAACGTTGATTTTATATTTGATTTAAAGCAGTAGTAAATAACATGTTTTGAATCTCAATACCTAATAAGGACAAACGTATGGAAAATATCAATCGACAAGTCTCAGTGAACGTGATTATCTATGTTGAAACTCGTAATAAGTTAGTTAGTTGGTTGGAGTAGAGTTGAAGTAATGATGGTGATCGGCAAAAATGTGAAACAGAATATTGATGGATTTGATACAAAATAGTTACACAAAATGGTGATATTTCTCTGAGTCTTCATCTTACACTTCGTTTATCATTAAATATTAAGATAGGGGCACCGTTAGAAATAGTGGTCCCAACAAAATTGGAGGCACCGCCCGGATACACGGATCTACGGATACACGGATACACGGATCGAATGATGGCGAGGGAAACAGATGGAGATGTAGTGCGTGAAATGGCCGCGGAAATTAGGCAAGAGTTGAAGAAACTTCGGAAAGCTAGAGGAGCTCACAGAGCTTATGTTACAAGAACGATCGCCATAGCCATGGAACGAGTAAAGAATTTTCGGACAGGAGATAAGAAAGAGCTTCTGAAATACAAGGGGGTCCTGACGGATAAGAAGATGGTCTTGCAGAAAATGGATGAAAAAGTGTTGGAAATTTTGAGTGACCAGAGTGATGGGGACGAATGTATTCAAGAAGTAGAGGAATCTGAGGCAATTGCAATGGAAATATCGGAGGTGCTTTTAGAGATCGAAGAAATCTTGGAAAAGGACACCGCCCTACAGCATGCACCCGTGGAAAACACCTCATTCTCTGGGAGCAGTTTGACAAGGAAGGCAAGAGCAAAGTTACCCAAACTGGAGCTGCAAACTTTTGACGGAACGCCACAAGATTGGCCTGAGTTTTGGGATGCGTTTAGCAGTACAGTGGACGATGATGAGGACCTTCCGGACGCGGTGAAGTTTCAATATTTGAAGAAGTCATTGTTGGAGCCAGCGAAGTCGGTAATTTCGGGATTCAAAATGACAGCGTCAAACTACAGAGCCGCGGTGGAGCTGTTACATCAACGCTTTGCGAAACCGACAGTGATCAAAAGAGCCCATATCAACGAGATGCTCAAAATCAACAGCGTGTATGACGAAAGGCGGGTTGACAGGATGCGATCTCTGCACGACAGCGTTGAAACGCACTTTCGCGGGTTGGAAGCTCTGCATGTCAACGAAGAGACATATGCAAGCATTGTTGTGCCAGTTCTGCTGGAAAAGATCCCCCAAGCCGTTCGTTTGAACATGGTGAGAGCATCCAGCAAAGATCATTTGGAGTGGTCTGTGAGAGATTTTTTGGAAAGTTTGAGCAAGGAAATTGAAGTCAGGGAAATACAAGCGCCGATTTTTGGAACAGGGGGCACGGAACGGAGAGGCTACGCCCCACGGAGAATGGCGGACAGGTTAATCGATGGTACGGCAACGGCATTGCACACTTGGAGAGCGGACAGCCAGAAACGATGCGCCTTTTGCCAAGAAAATCACGAAGAAGAACGTTGTTCTAAAATTACAAACTTGGACACGCGTAAGAGCATTATTAGAAAGTATGGTCGTTGTTTTGTTTGCATTAGGAAAGGGCATAAGGCTGTAGATTGTAGATCAAAGATTAAGTGTAAGAAATGCAACGGTAAACATCACATATCTTTGTGTTATTATTCCAAGGATTTAACCGTAAGTAAGAATCCTAGCCCTTTAAGACCCTCAGCTCCTCCTTTTGTAGGAACCTCTACAGGTAGCACTAACGTAGCATCGTGCACCAACAGTTTAGGCCCTGGTAGTTCTGCAGCATTGCAAACCGCCCTAGCTGTTGTTAATGGGAACGATAAGGTTAAGGTGCGCGTACTTTTTGATAGTGGGAGTCAGAAGACCTTTGTAACCCCCACTGTAGTGGAGAGAGCCAAGCTACAAGTTGTGAGGAAGGAGAATTTAGGGATTAAAGCCTTTGGAAGTGAGACGGCAGAGAGGAAATTGCGAGATGTTGTAGAGCTGGATTTGAGGGCTGCGAGAGGTGGTAAAAGAGTGAAAGTAGAAGCGTATGTTGTCGAGAAAATTTCAGAAATATCTAATTGCCATGTTGAGATTGTTAAAAGTAAATATAAACATTTAGCGGATATTGAGTTTTCTGACGTTTCTGATGAGATTAGTTTACAGGTCGACGTGTTAGTAGGAGCAAATTTCCTCTGGGAATTTCAAGGCAAACAGACGATACGAGGGGAGAAAAACGAGCCAGTCGCAGTCGAGACTACGTTAGGATGGGTGCTCTCGGGACCGTTGAATGGTGAGTCTTTACTTTACGATTTAAACAATGTTAATGTTACGTATGTCGAAGCAAACTTGGAGAGCAAAGTAGAACAATTTTGGGATTTAGATACAGTCGGTGTTAGAGAAGATAAGGACATTTATACTGAATTTATCGATGATATATCTTATAACGGTAAAAGATATTCCGTAGGTTTACCTTGGAAAATAGGCCACAAGCAGTTACCGCCCAATTTTAATGCTAGTTTTACACGGTTGAAGTCTCAAATAAGGAAACTTAAGAACACGCCCACCTTGCTAAATGAGTGTAATAAAATAATTGAGGAACAAGAAGATCTTGACATTATCGAGAAAGTTACGGAGTTAGAGGGGGCCGAAAAGGTTTATTACATGC